AACACCCGCCCAAGATCCACCCATCAACCATGTCTATGTCCAATGAACGAAGCGAATCAAACCAAACCAACCTAGAATAAGATTACACCCAAAATTAAGAGAATGGTACGAAAATAATTGGAAAGGGAACCTTGCAAATTTTGCAAAAGGACCCTGCAGTTGTAACAGTGTAGTAACTAACTACATATGTATACTACTATATTCCTGGAAGTATGGCCTAGCATCCTCGACCAATAAGCAAAGCAAATCACCCTCAAATGTGAAAAAAATAACATAAAAACAATCTGTAGGGTTGCACTGTACCTGACAAGGCAACCCCTTAATTGGAAATAGTGTTACCCGGGACAGAAGCGGCCAAAAAGATGCCCAACATACAACCGTTGTATAACTTGTATACTACAAGAAGACCTCTCGAGACACGGTTATTCAAAAATACAACTCTAAAAAAGCGGATAGCAAGTCTATGCAACAAAACAGGAGCAGTGTGCTCCGAGCCCTGCAGACGATGTCATCTCGCGTTGACTTGTGGCTCTGCGCCACTCAAGGGGCTTAGCGTTCTCGCGCGCTTACCGCATTGGGCCTTAGCGCTGCTGACTACAGTCCAACCCGGGAGATGCCGGAGGGGCATTGGGCTATGGGATATTAGAATCGCATGGTATACTGGTTGTGTCTAACACCGAAACGCCGAATAGGGTAATGGTCTTTTGATTATGTGGTCGGAGCACATTGTGCGTGTTTACTTTTGTACATTTATTTATTGAATGATGCTTAGCGCATGGGTGTTTTTATTTGCTATTGGTTTGCCGAGTACTAGTAGTGTCTATGTATTGTACTAGTACAGTGCATTTCTCCTTCATTGGGCCGATCAGTGACGCGGTTCAGTTACTATTTTGTATCCTGGAATTTAATGCCTCATTTCTTTTGGTAATGAAACACTATTTAACTTTTTGACCTGAAACTTTTGCTTCGGGTTCTACGATGCCGAGTGTTGAGATCGGGTATCCCGATTAAGCCGATAGGGGAAGAACTTCGGGGGATTATAATACATAGTCGAAGTCTCCAAGGTTGTTTGCCTGTTTCCTAGCCTACAATACGGAGGGTAGTGGGTAGCATCTGGGTACTGCATGACTGGGATGGTGCAGTCTGATTTAGTACACCATATTGATATTGGACATACTCGTAGTACAACGTACGCCTTCGCTGCCAGTGGGACGCCATGTGAGATACAACTGCATCCACAAGATACATTGTATGAAAGACGTTGCAAATCCCAGCGCAGTCAACTTGCAGACTTGCCCTGGCCTTTTGCAAATATCAAAACAAGAGATCAGCATGTACATATCTGTATCGGCTATCGGTACGGGTAACAATATTGGAAGGCAGCAGTATGTTATATATACTTTGTATCATTGAAGGTAACTCCATTCGAAAAAGACCTATGCAAGCCACCTGCATGAGGGATCATCAACAGGACAGACGCGCAGCCCGCTGCAATATCGTCGAGCCTAGAGCTTGTGAAAGCGGCTAGGTGCATAAACTAGGACTGCGCGAATATTGGTCTCGACCCAAGAATGTATGTTGTAGTCAGAGAATGAAAACACTTGGGCAGGACAACCTTCCAAGATTGGAAATTCGAATGCCCCTCACACAAATCCCGAAGTTTGGAGGGGCAGAGGGGCAGCGTGGCGCAACGGCACAGACGTCATTCTGCATAGGGCAGGTGAACCGTGCAGTTAATCTTATCTTGATCAAGATGAAGTGAAAAAGTTTCAAGTTCATTAAGAATGCATACATGAAATAATGAAAAATGAAACGAGCAATTGGTATCTTAAAACACAAGCAACTCCCCGGGTAAATAAAGAGCGTCAGAATGGGAACCAGGATACAGAAGGGCCGTAGACCGGCTGGCCAGCAGGGTATAAGAGTCGTATAATCCAATGAGAATCGCACCATATCCGGTGACAATCAAGATCTCGACCGAACGCGCCGAGCCGTGGGCGTGCACCCCGCGCTCATCTGAAGCATACTCTGTCGCTGTCCATCGTCTGTGCTCTGTGAGCTGCGGGTGGGGATACCACTGACGAAGGGCTGATCCGTGGTGTTAATAGCACCCTTGAAGGCTCGTGCGGGAAGCTTGGACGAGATGGGGGATTTAGGAGCAAGCTTGCGGCGGCCCTTGGTAGGTGTGGAGGGGCCAGCAGCAGCCACGGCGTCTGCCGAGGCTGCGGGAGGCTTGCTTGTGCTGCGACTTCCAGTCTTAACTGGGGTACCAGACCCTAAGATGCCCGAATCACCCAAGCGCCTCACCCGGCGTGAGCGCGGGGTTGCAGTAGCAGGTGCAGTAGTCGGGGCGGTTGGGCCGCTCTCGGTGGCCCCACTGTCTGCATTCTCGTCTGCCTTTTGCGTTTGGCTACGGCTGCTGCGATGACCGGACTCTGCTTTCTTTGCTGAGCGCTTGCTTTCCGGTCGCGGGCGAGGCGTTGCGCCCACGTCATTCGTGCACCGGTTACCCTCCTCTTCATCTTCCTGGTCATCCATTGGTTCTCTGTACTCTTCATACTCGGCTATGCGCTCCTCGTTCCACGACACTTGCTTTCGCCGTTTGGCCAGCCCACGGGAGTTAGTGTCCTTGTGGGTTGAGCCCTCATTCTGTGAATTGCCCGGCTGAAGCTCTTCCTCGCTCGGCTGTTGAGCCAGAGCTTCCAGGGCGATAATGGGAGTTACAGATTTGCCTTTGTTGAGCCGAGTATTGCGCTTTGTGGCCATAGCCACCTGCTGGGTCTCAGTTCGCTGTTGAAAAACGAATTCTGTCCCTTTGGCTCGGCGGAATGAGATAGTGTTCCGCATGTTATGGGTGCTCGAGCCTTTGGTGCGGGTGCTTCGACGATATGCAGGGCTTGAAGGAGCTTGTTCTTCCTTGATCTCTTTGGGAATGATATCCTCCCGGTCATCGGCACCATCGACACCACGCATGAAGTCATATTTACTAGGCGATATTTGCAACTTGATAGGTGAAGGTGAATTGGCTGTCAATTCCTCCAACGCGCGGCGGGGTGGCGGTGTTGAGCATTCAGCTTCTGGCGACTCCTCCGGACTGGAAGACATCTCCGTTGATTTCGCGTCTTCGGGATGCGTGGCCTTGGCGGCCCGCTTCGCATTCGCCCTGGACAGGAAGTCGTTGAGAAGCTCTGCATCCTCTCCATCCAAGGAGCTTCGCAGTGCCGATCGTACCAACTTGATTTCCTGCTCTTGCGTCAGGTCTTGCACGGACTCCGTGGTGCACACGATGTTGGTCTTGTCCTCTCCTGCGTTGTCGATCACAGTCGGCGCATCTTGGCTGGATGGTCTAGACTGTAGATCCTCCGCTGTCTTTGCGTCAGATGCTGTAATATGCACGTCCGTGGCCATAGCGTCGTTGTAGACCGGCGTCTTCGAAGTCTTCCAAAGATCACTGAGGCGCTGGGGTGACGCATTCGTAGCTACATCGCCGGCAACATCATTGAGCGTTCCCTCAGGCTGGTTGGCAGTGAAACCAAACACCTCTTGGGAGCCCTCGTCGTGGATGTTGAAATTGAATTCGGGCATCTTGCCTGCAAATTATCAGATGAAAGATCTTTCTAAATGCAGTGTATGGGACGTGATGCGCGATGTGTACACGCTCGCATAATATAGAAAGAAACTTACGTCGTTTCCGAGAGCCCTGCATCTCCCATTTAGTCTCAAGAAAAGACCGACCACGTTGTTCAGCGTCAGTCTCGGGGTACGCCTCGGCGGGGCCGACACACTGGCGCTTCACGCCGCGCTGGTAATCCGAGTGTTTAGAGGCGCCGACCCCCGAGGTCTGGCCTTCTGTCGCGGTATTCATGCCGGTAAACGGAAAGCGAATGCGCTTCCACAGCTTTCGTGTTTTGTCTCCGGCCCGGACAGGCGTCGAAGGTTTGCGATCCCACAGTCGCGGCAAGGCGCTCAGGGCTTTGATAGGCGTGAAACTGAAGGAACTTTCAGTGGGAGGGTTGGTAGAGCTGCTGGCGTGCGAGACAGTTTGCGTTAGTGACAAGTCTATATGGCGGTGGATCTCAAAATAAAGGGGAAAAGTGACCAAACCCCTGAGCGAGAGGCGCGAATGATCCTTTGGTACAAAGAAAAGAAAGAAAATATTGAATCCAAAAGCAAAAAGAAAGAACGAGTGGACATACCATGCTTGCGGCGAGGGAGGATGGTTCTCCATTGTTGTTGACGCGCGTGGAATGTGTCAAAGCCGTTGGAATTCGATTTGGCGACGAAGTATGTTCGAGTAATTTAGATGAGTTAAACCAAGGTATCTAATATAATGCAAATCAAAAATGCAAATCAAAGGATGCAACTGAGCCCCTCAGTAAATTGTCGGATTGTCGATGGATGCGAAAGTCATGAAGCGGGCCGTTGTGGTTTTGCTTTGATGTCTTTGGGCCCGCCGTTGCCCTGCCAACCACCGCATGGGAGAGCCGGGAGAGCCCAACGTGGACATTAATGGCGATCATGAATGTATAGTTAGAGCATGGAATTTCATTGGAGGTTGCGTGATGCCTGCTAATTCAGATGCAATCCTTGCCATAGCTCAAATAGTGAAGAGTTTGTTTGGTAGTTTGGTATATATCTCGACTATATATCTTAGCTAACGAAGACTGGAAACCTACTAGCTAAACACTGCAAATATCCATAGCGCGGGAAAACCGAGGGAAAAAAAGCAGGTTGGGATGATATATATAGTGGCTCTGAGGGTTTTACATCTTACAGATATATTTGTTTACTTCATGGTTTCCCTAAAGGTCGGGCATAGAATGTCTTTCCGGCAAAGCCATCTACTAGGGTAGCAGGCAATGATGCTCCCAGATAGCATGGAATGAGCCTGGAGCAGCTTTCTTTTACACTGTATGGCAGTGAATTGAAGCAGTTCCGCCTACAAACTCCCCCCACGGGTGAGCGAACACTGCCGGCTCATCGTAGACCAAATGTAGCAAGCTAAGGAATCAAGTCATATCTCATTATTCATATCGTATGCTGCCTAGGTGGCAGACGGTCTCCGAACATGCAGAGGCTCATATCAACTTCTCCGCCAAGTCCCGTTCATCAAAAGGGTCCCCGAATTCATCTGAACACACGGCAGCCAGTCAGCACACTGTACAGACATCCATAGATGGAACATAACCAAAGCTAGTCCATGTAGATATAGAAAGCCACATACCTAGCTTGAAATCCTTATCAATGACATACTCCATAGCACGCTGCAAATCCTCTTGAGCACGCTTGCTCTTCCACACTGCGAGATTCGAGTCAAACGTCTTTTCCGCAGGCTGTCCTCCGTGTTGTTCCAACGCAGTCCCAATATCACCAACAGAGGCGCCAGATTCATGCTTTGTCTGGGATCCAGGAGGGGAAAGCTCCGATAAGTCAACGCCAGCCGAGGAAGCTTGGGCTGTGCCAGTCGGAGTGCGGGCGCCGGTTCTAGCGCCGTCGTCGGGGCGGATGGAGTCGACGGAGGAGGTCATTGTAGAGTCGCCGTCTGGGTCTTTGGGATCTGGTAGGTGTTTGTTAATGGATGTAATCCCCGGGTTTGTAGTTTGTAGCAAGGAAGAAGAGGCCGGTGCACATGTGGGTATGGAGCGCTATCGATATCGCGGGCCCACTGTGCCTCTCTCGGCTACATCGTATAGCTTTGAGGGAATAGGGGAGACCTACCAATCGCCATTGTTGGGAATTAACAATATGGGTTAGATGGTCGATCTGTAGTTTCGAAAGTTCTCAAACTTCAAGGGCGCGGGGAGTGGAGAGATCAACGGTCGACAGGCGGTGGCCCCGGGGGCTCTCGCGTGAATTTTCTTCTTCTTTCTTCCCCAGCTTATATACTGTATGAACATAATTATTGCTGGCCTTTGTGATTAGCATATTTTCATTAGATCTTTTTTTTTTTGACCTTCCTCTCTATTCTTAATCCTGCTCCCGTCATTCTGTGTGAAATGAGCGCAAACTCCGGTGCAGTTCCCGATGCCTGGGAGGATTCATGGGAAAACCAAGCAGATGTATGTAATACCAGGGAAACTATGTGACATTTGGGACAGACCCTAGTCCTGCCATTCAAGTCTACTCAATGCTTGCAAGTTATGAATGACATGCTGATGGTCATCGTTTACAGAAACTCGATTCTACGTCTACCCCGCCGTCCGAGAAGAAAGTCTCATCCAAGGTGACCAAGGCGCAACGCCGGGCGGAACAGGCAGAGTTCAATCGCCAGCTATGGGCTGAAGCGTAAGTTTCAATCGCCAGCTAGCGCCTATTGCATTTCTTTTAGTTGTTCAAGAGACTGAACTGGGTTGCAGCGAATCCACAGAAACGTTCCACTTCGTTGAAGCGCGCGCCGATGTCCCCCTTAAGCAAGACTTCAAGCCCGCAGTTACACTACTGAGTCGGAAACCTCAGCTTGTGACAAGACATTCATCATCATCCCCGAGAACAATTAGTGCCGCGACGGCTGGACTTGGCCGACTCGGACTAGACGATGACGACGACTCGGACGATGACACCAAGCCGTCCCAGCCAACACCCGAAGAGCGCCATGCTATTGCACTGAAGAATCGGGAGGAGAAACAGCGGAAGTACGAAGAAGTGCGCGAACGTCTGTTTGGAACCCCGTCTGCTACAGCTTCGGGTAACTCGTCGCCCGGCAGTACGACCCCGCCTCGTCAAAATTCTACAGGCGAGGGTAGAGGGAGAGGCAAAGGACGTGGCGGAGGAAGAGACCATCAGAAGAGAGATTCCTCGTCGGCGTCGAGCAAGTCCTCTAGACATCTCTACGATCCCTCCACTTCGGCCAAGCCAAATGCACTACAGAGAGGTGGCCGTTCGCCAGTTGGGGGAAGCGGCTCCGACACCCAGGCTCCACAGCAGCCGGTGCGCAGTCCTCGGGGCCCTGATGCAAGTGGAAGGGGTGGCTTCAATTTCAATCGAGGTGCTCGAACAGGCTAATATACATTTGGCCAATATCTTTTCGTCCCAGGACGCTGGCCGTCAGATACCGTTGATCTGGTATTAAGGGAGGCCTCGTCCTGCATTAATTGCATTTGCGACCTGGGATGTGTTTGGACGGTTCTCTGTGACATGAAGTGTTAGCAGTGCCATTGGAAAATAGACACGCAATACTCACGGGCATATCGCTCATAACTGTCGTGGTACAACTCATCCGTGCTAGTTGTCGCCTGCACATGCTGGTCGGTCTCAATTGCATTCATCCAAGAGGCCAGCCTGGTTCCCTCCTCAGCATCTGGCCACCCTCGGTATGGTTTCAGGACCCGCCGCAGCCGAATGATCCACGGGGCAGCTTGAACGTCCACAAGGGACATCTGCGAGCCCATGAAGAAAGGCCCCTTGGGATGCGCCACCTCGAGCAGCTTTTCCATCGCGTCTCGCAGCTCCTGTGTCTTCTCAATCTGTTTCTCCTGGCCTTGCTCTTGCAGTATACGGTAGAAACTCGGCACGATATGCCGATTGACCTGGAGGGCTATTAGTGATGATCATCACAACAGACCTGTCTGTCTACTTACATGATCCGCCCACAACCGGCAATGGGCGCGCAGCTTTGGGTCTGCTGGAAGCATTGCGGCTCCTACACCCAGATCCTCCAGCTGCGAGGGATTGGTCAGTGAGGAAACGGGAAATTGGCCATTCAGTTTTCTTACATATTCCAACAACACGTTGCTTTCATAGCATCCCCAGTCGTCGTGCCGCAAAGCAGGAACAAGCCCTCTTGGATTCACCTCTAACAGCGACTGGGGCTTCTCGTACGGATCCACTTCGATGTATTGGTAAGGGATACCTTTCAGTTCCAATGCAATCCATACCCGTTGCACGAAGGGGCTTCAAACACGCAGGTCAAGTCAATACACAACAAGATTTCATCAGAACGAGTCAAATCAGGGGGAGGTCTCACCAGAAGCAGCTCCCATATAGCTTTAGATTAACATCGGCGGAGTGTTTGATCGCAGTTTCAGCGGCCAGACCCGTCGCTTTTGTATGGTATGACTTTTGGCCTGTTCGAGACATGACTCGGTCCTATTGTGTATTCCGTATTAAAGCTGCACAATCCAAAATGCTTGAAATGGAAACAAAACGATGAAAGACTTGATCTTTGGCAGGTGGGAAGTACAAAGTCAATGTAGACATGTGACGTAGCCGGGATCATGCGGGGATACTTCTCCACGCCGGGGGTGCAACTGAACAGAACAAAACAGGATTGACATACCGCTCTCGTCCTTTTATCTTTCTTTTCCTTCAGAACATATCGTTGCACACTACTCTTCTTGACACGGTCGCTCTCTTCAAGCGTATGTTGATGACCGCCACTCACTCCGTCATTCTTCCCGTTGGCACCATTGCCATTCACTCGCTGTATAGTGAAATATCGCCCACCATTCGATCCCGGATGATTTGGTGGTAGACTAGGGTTCGGCGTGAGCATACCGAATGTTTGGACATTTCGCATCGCGGGGTCGTCGTTCAGAGAGAAAGTATACATGCCGGGTAGGATATTAGATGGCAAGGGCTCGACTGCATGGGTTGTATTTGACATTTCAGACACTGGGAAGTATTCCACGACTTTGATTTTGACATGGCAGAGATCACGTTCTCTGGCCGTACGCTTGCGCTTCTTTTTTTCTGGGTCGTCGGATTTGGGGGTTCCGGGGGGTCGTCCTTTGAGTCGACAATCCCAGTAATGGGAGACAAAGGGTTTACGCTTGTACCGCTGTGTTGAGCGATGAGAGTATACATTGTCAACGTGGGGAAAGTAGGTTTGGAATCTGTAGAAAAGTATGTGCAAGTCAGCCTCTCAGTAGGGTGTAAAAAATCCCAACAATGGAGTATGCGTACTCCTCTTCGCTCAGGGTGATCATTTCATCAACATTGAACAACCTATCCCTCCAGTAATCAAGATGCGGAGGGTTAGGGACCACTTTGAAGCCTTGCAGCTCCCCGGGCCCAGTGAAGGACACCGTATCCGCAGAGCCAGCTTCTAGCTCGATAAAGTCAGGTTGAAACGATTGACTTTGGGACTGCAGCGTTGTTAAGCTGTTATTCTGAGCTTGGTGCACGTTGCTTCCCATGGCTAGCTCGTTTTGGGACAGCGACGCTGGAGGCACCATTTGTCCAGCAGCAGCGCCATGCAATGGCCCGCTCATGTTCGCTGTATGAGCGGCGCCATTGTTGTAGTCCTGCGATTGATGCAAACTACTGGAGGATTGCCCTTGCGGTTGTAAATGCGTGGCAACTCCATTGACAGGGTGACCTTGGTGCAATTGGTGGTGTTGTGCGGATTGAGACGGGGTAATAAAGTTGTTTGCCGACTCGCCTGATCGTGGAGGACGAATAAACGTATGCGTCGCGTTCTGGAGCTGTGATTCAGCTTCGGTCGGGGGACGGAATGGCCCGAAGGGTTGCGATTCCGGGTCAAATTGGCCCAACTGTAGGTTGGACTGGTCGTTTATCGGCATCGAAGGTCCCAAGCGGGGCGACGACAGTCGCAGCTCAGAGTCCATCTTGTAAATAATATAAAGTTGTGGAGAGGCGTGCTGCTTTTGAGGGAGTAGGACGGTTGAAGCGGCATTGTGGGGTTGAGGGAAGCTCGGATCATCATGAGGTTCTCAGGTACGAAAATTAACATGTTTGGGCATCTATGGATTCTCTCTTTTCAATCAAAGGTTATAAGTAGAAAAGTCTCAAACACAAAGTATGCTTTTTTTTTTTTCTCTTTTTTTCCCCTGCCATCTAGCTAACCAACTGAGAAGGGGGATACAATATCTATGAAAACAGGCATCTGAAAAGACATCTAAAAAGACAATCTGAGAAGACTACCAAAAAAGTCTTGACACGGCCGCATAAGCGGCCGACTGTTCCAAGGTTCTTGTTGATAATGAATAGCACATTTATTCTATATCAAAGATTAGGATATTGAGATAGTACCATCTATTCGCATTGAATCATAGATGCAGTAATGATTCCAGCCTCGGCAGCTTACAGACCCTTGCCATGTTTCTTCGCTGCTTCCGAATTCTTGAAAGGAAAGCCCGCCGTCCTCTTGTCTGCACCCGTACGGCGACTGATTCTGCCATGGCTGCTGGCAAAGAGCATGCACCACAACCCAATGGCCGCAATACTAGAGTATCCAGCAACACCAACAGCAAAGAGACCTTGTCCACCAGAAACATACCAGGTGTACGCGTAGAGAGCACATGCGGTATGGAAGACAGAGGTCACAATCAGAGTTGGCACAGCGTATGGCGCCTTGGGATCGTCCTCCTCTGTTGTCACAGACTCCTTGACGTCGGCCGTCAGAGGGATGGAGCCGGTTAGCATCATGGTCATAACGGCGATAGTGAGGAAACTGAAGCCGAGGCATCGGGCGAAGTATATTTCCATGGCTTTTCAAGGGCAAAAGGTTAGCATGGCTCGTAAACGGGTGCGCGCGGCACTTTCAGGATGAGGGCGGCATACGGGAAACAGGCCGAGTCTCATCTAGCAGCATAGTCACTATCATGCTCGGTCCGGTAATTAAAGGTAAACTCTGAAGCGACAGCCATGCGGCTGTCGAGTATGTGTAGACGCGAAAGACCTGTCAAGTTAGCTTTTAGCTCCGGTTTCGAGGTCTATCTTCCATAGCTTTGGAGACAGTAATAGGATTGGCTCACATCCATGATGGCAGTTCGCTAGTATTTCTTCGATGGTATTGAAATATTCTTGCAAGATTGAAGTAGCTGTCAAAAATGGACAAAAATGGTAAGGTCCTGAGAAGATGAAGCTTCCAAGCCATCATTTTTAAGGCTGAAGCATTATAAACAAGTGACGTCATACAGTTACCCGTTTGACATGTTTGAACATTGTTGATACTCCCAAGTTGGCATAAGGTCGTCTTTGTGAGGAAACTAATTTTCTGGCATGTACTCTAATTTGGATTTTGATATGTGTATATATATCTCAAAGAGCTTGAGATTTCGAATTCTGATCAAAATTTACGAATAACCTGGAGGAGAGCTGGGTTCGCTGCGCCAAACTAATGACGGCGTCGATGAAATAGATACATTGAAGTACATTATGTTGTATACTGTTCTCATATTCGATTCCAAGTTTCCCAAAGATTAAACATCGATGATTCATCCATCAATGAATCCACGAAATCCCCGAAAGTCTCGGTCCCTTGCTCCGAGAAATCGCCCAATGGAGCGTTGTTACCAAAATGATCTGTCACAAACCGACCGGTGGCAGGTTGATTGACGGTATAATTTCTGTCGCTGGAATCACTTGCTGGTACGAAGTTAACTGTCTGATCAGAAGCACCTGTCCCTCTTTGATAGGGGGGACAAATTTGTTGCATAGCCCGGAGAAAAATTCCTCGGTATAACGAAGCAACAGTATAATTTTTTTGGAGCTCTTCCATGACGAGCATGCACATTTCAAGCTTGTGGAGTCTGAGGCGTTTCGTTAAGGAGTCGGCAGATTTATAGAAAAGCAGATGCGTTTGCATCGCTGGGACTAAGAGTGCGGGCCTAAAATTTGTCAGAAATTGCAACTTACAACCAGCCCTGGAGATGAGATAGAGCCAAAAGTTGAGAATGAGCGAAGACCAGAAAGAGTCTAAGTACTCACGTCATAGGCCCGGCAAATTGAAGAAGATCGTCCTGGGCGAGAGCATCAAGAATATCGTTTGTCCTTGACGCAGCATCCCCAGCCTTCATTCGCATCCGATGTTGCCAATCTCCTTGTTGTGCAGGATCAAGACCAGTAAGAGTTTCAGATCCGTAGGGACGATACAAAGCAATGAGCAGCACTCTGAGGAAACTTGGTCAGAATAATCCTGAATTGGCTGAAACAACGTGAACCCACTGATAGTGTAAATGAACATGGAACAGATGAAACCGCACCAGATTGACCAAGCCAGACTCGTATGGGTCTGGTAGCTCGTATTTTAGAATCTCCGCCTCGAGAGTTTCGAATTGTTGGATCGTGGGCTTTGCCCTTATGGTCTTGTAGTTCATGGTAATAACAGCACCCAATTGCTTGCTCAATTCAATCATTCTCACCCAGTATGAAGCCAGCCTGGGTAAATCTTTTGGTAAAAAGTCAGTGGATGTGGATTCCGGTATTCCTGCCAGGTCGTCAAGCATGTCTGTGACCAAGGGCATAGGTGTGTCGCAGTCATTAAGATCAATCCGCAATGGCCTTCCAAAATGGAAGCCGAGCCAGCAATCCCGATAAAAGGAGCACCACCAAAGTCGGCGCCACAAACGCCGTTGCTGATCGCTGATGGCGGAATTTATCTTGGAGGAGTCGGGATTTCGATGCAAGCCTAGCATCTGGCAAAAGGTGATCGCGGTTCCTACCCAGTACCACGGTTGCATATGTTCGTCAAGCTCTGAAAGCCAAAAGCTCATCAATAAAGAAGCTTGGAGAAGAACGATCTTGTCCATTCCCTCGCTTATGGCATACGTGCACTGGAATTGAGTATTCAGTTGCACGCCCGATAAAAGTACATGATCGCGATCCATGAAGGCGAATCCACCGTTTACTCACCTTTGCACGGGAATACATGAGAGCTTTCATTTCTTGTCGAGATTTATACCCCTCCTGTTCGTAAATAGTGGGATGGACAAACTGCGATATGGTTAAGATTGGCCAAGTTAAGGGGCGCTTGGTGAAATACGAACATTGGCAGCAGCGAGAAATATACACCAAAGGAGGAGGATGTTGTACTCAGAGAGTCGTCCGTTGTGTTGATAGTCTAAGATGTGATCGATCTCAATAACGGGCATGATCGGGTGCACATGATTAAGATATGCTCGAAGGAGGGCTTCACAGCTCTCTTTCCCGGGAAGAGTAAGTGCTCCTTTCGCTCGAAGGTAGTTTTGGTCCGCATCGGAGAAAAGCGGACGGGTGCTCGATGGAACAAGAAGGTGCCTTGGCAAAGACTTATCTGGTGAACAAATATCTAAGGCGAAGGTTGGTCCGGTCTGACTTCCTGCGTGAGGGGTGAGCAGAAGTCATTCAATAGCCACCAAGGCAAATTTGCTTACCGGTGTAATAAGGCACCTGACCGAGACTTTGAGGTTGTCCTAATCTTGCAGCAGCTATCTCAATGCCTCTTCGCTCTGCATCTTCGACACCACCCTCATTTCTGGCTTGGGCGGTCGTACTATTGACTCCTTGCGGTAGTAATAAAGAAGATGGTGCAACCTCAATTCCGATACGCCTTCTGCCTTCGCTATGGTCGCCTTCATTAGCCGAAGAAGACGCCCCTGGAATTCCAATTGCTTCAGCTGGTCCATTTGAAAGCATTGAGTGGTCCGTAGTAGGGGTTGGCTCGTGATCAGAAGGCCGGTGGGCCATAGTGCTGCCGGTAAAAACGGGGTCGGGAGCTTGTAAGGACCCTTGATCACGGCGCTGATTGCGTTGTGCACGTGGCCTTTGGTATCTAAGCCATTGTTAGGGGAATCTAAAGAATCAACAGTGATTATGAATTTGACCCTCACTTTCTTCGCTGTTTAGGGACAACGATGCACTCGGCCCCATCTTGGGTACAACCGATGCATGGATTGCCGGTGACAGCCAAGCTGCATCGAACCTTGCGCTGACGGCAGGCTTGACAGGCAACTGCAGAGCGACTACGGATTGGGGTTGTGGGGTGAGCTGATGTGGCCGGCATCCTCACGGGTTTTATCGCAAGTATGTAAAGTACGTACGAACTTCCGAGGGCTTAAAGGGACGAGGGGTTATGAACGGCCCGAAGAGTGGGCCTCTGGACCTCGGGATGATCATATGGCTGACGTAAACCCAGCCGGAACCCGTCCACGGGTGGACACATCCATCCATAGATGCAGTATATGGTAACTACTATAGCTACTGCAACTAGTATAAAATAGAGCAAACGGGTTTGATGCCGTGCTTTGAAAAGAAAAACCTCGAAACAATGACAGTTCGAAAACACTTTGTACGTGTTGATGTCAATGGCAATGCCTTGATTCGTTCAAATCACATTTCAACCACCGTTGTTCGATTAGGCCTGTAAATGAGCTTGAACGTGAGCAATATTTGGATGATATCTGGAATTTCCGGTCAATTAACTCAATTAGGGCACATACTTTGAATTTGGAAGATAACAAATTGTACATAACCCCGAAATTAATAGTCGGACTTCGGTGAATTCCGGACTCCTTTTCTCCCAGGAGTAATATCTTTGCATTTGCCAATGAAAATTAGCAAGCGCATAACGAGAGGATCTGTTTGGTATAATTTTAATGTATAAAAGACGTAAATGGTGCATCGGGTGTACTCAAGATAAGCTAGAGCGTACCATTGCCCCGAGGCAGCGAAGGAAGTGAAGGAAGTGAAGGTGAAACCCAAGATCAGAAATAGTCACTTGAGTTTTCCTAACAAGGGACTTTGCAGATACCAGAGACCACTTCCACAAGTCAATTTTCACCGTGATCAAGGTTCTCTACAAGCTCTCGGCTCTATTTTTACCGGCAATAATATAAACCAGTTGCCTACCAGCCACGATTCAAACGTTTCTTGGAAGATATATATATCAAGGCGTTACTACCATTCACTAGACAAGTAGTTAAACTCACTATGGGTAAAGTTGCCTCAAAGAGAACCAATGTAACATACAAAGCAAAGAAAATTCCTGTCCCAGGAAAGGTGTAGTTAAGATGCTCTCCCTTGAGCCCTGTGGACGGAGCAAGTATCTTGAGAGACCTTACATCACGCATCGCTGCAGCACTTCATATCACAATGCAATACATCACCCAGTTTCTCCTTAGTTTTCTTATGGCAATCTCGGCCTGTTTATAAATTGTGAACATCGGTAATTCTGCGTAACGCAGATATGGTAGGCTTCGTCACCCAGCTATTACAATTAATCTACTATCTTCACCGGCTACAATATTTATCTAACCCCAAGCCATTTACTTCTGCTATGTGTTCTTTACTCTTCAAAACTATAATAACTATATTATCATGACTGTCTATCGACGATGTAAGTCTTTCAATGCGTGTTCATGATTCAGGAAAAAGTAGATATATCCCGGAGAGGAACACCTAATCCTTTTCGTAATTCCAAACAGCCGGCTAAATGTCGGCATTATTGGGTTGTGACTCAAATTTGCCCTCAGCTGATTCGTGCGAAAGGGATCCAAGGGACCAAGAGCGAGTTGGGGGCCGGTTATTTGTGACCTTTCGAGTCTCCACCGCACGAATTGTGGCACTTCAGGATGCTACATAGTACAAACTAGGCGGGTCCGGATAGATAATACATACAGTTCGCAGTGGGGACTCGGGACCCCGGGAGAGTACCCGAAGGGTTCCAATAAATACCTATGGGGCTCTATCGTTGTGAAGACGGCGTGATACCGGGATGCCGAGGTCTGTTAGAGGCTCTTAGCACCGGGATAGCGGCGGAGTAAAACTATGCCTGTCCACGGGTTCTTTCGTGTGACACGGGAACTCAGGGCGCCGAAGTCATCTGGAGAATTCTATAGAGGTATAAATATGAGAATTATGTAGTACCTCGGTGACATCCATCCATTCACAACAAAACATTTTTGCTCTTTGATTGAACGAGAGGCTATCACAGAGATGCGTGGAGTTATCGTCAAAAGTGCCAACAGTTTCTCTCTGGAAGACATCCCCAAACCAACAATCCAATCTCCCACCGATGTCATTGTCAAAGTCAGCGCAACAACCATCTGCGGATCTGATGTCCATTTGATCCATGGCGATATGAGCTCGCACTGGGATTTTCCCTTAGGCCACGAATTTGTCGGAACTGTTCATCAGCTCGGCACCGCAGTACAAGACTTCAAGTTAGGAGACCGCGTCGTGGCAGCGGCCGGAGTCACCTGTGGCGAGTGCGATCAATGCTGTGAACTCAAATACCAGAATTGCGTGCACTTTGGAATCTATGGATGTGGGAACGATTTTGGTGGCTTGGGTGGTGCCCAAGCTGAGTTCGTGCGAGTTCCCTGTGCCAACAATTGTTTGGCTCCCATCCCTGATGGCGTAAGCAATGCCCAGGCCCTCACTGTTGGAGATATTCTCTGCACCGGATGGACTGGAGTCGAGCGAGCTGTTGCTGCTCCAGGTGCAACTTTGGTTGTTTTCGGCGCTGGGCCTGTCGGTTTGGCTGCTATCCATACTGCATGTCTATCGGGTGTATCCAAAGTTATTGCAGTCGACGTGATACCGGAGCGTCTGGCGGTTGCCATGGACCTGAAAGCTGACCATGTCATCAACCCACTGTTAGAAGATGTTGGCGCTGTTGTTATGAAGCTCACAGGTGGACGCGGCGCGGACGCCATCGTGGATGCAGCTGGGGTAAAAAGCTCGATCAATAGCTGGCCCTCTGTTGCTGCACTGGGCGCAAAAATTGCCATGGTTGCCATTCCATCCGGCCCTGTTGAAATGCCACTAGCTCAGCTGCAGATGAAAGCTGCTACTATCTGGATGGGTCTAGCTGATACGAGTAGAGTTCGCATGGATACTCTTCTCCAACGAATCAAGGATGGATCCCTAGATCCTTCGCCCATTTTTACTGAGACCATCGCATTCAGTGAGATTGAAACAGGTCTCCGAGAATTTATCTCGAGAAAGCGAGGCTTGATCAAGCCTCTGATACTTTTCGAGTGATATTTTGTCAACACTTGTGGGGTTTGCACCCGAAATTTATCTTGTCTTGGTATCTACATATGTAGTTACGTATTTGTATAGTGGCCGGAGGGATCAGGCACCCATGGAGGATCCTGCTCCCCCTCTCTCTCCCCTCTTTCTCCCTCATATCCATCCCATTTGATAGGAATTGACATGTGCAGTTTCTCCATACAGTTTTCCATTGTATTGTGATTACTAGAGGTTATGAGCCTTTCTACCAGCAAGGTCCACTGGCAACCTTGGAAATCTGAAGCTTTTCCTGGACCCACTTCCCGTGTCACTCCCGAGGCCCCGCATTGTTCAGGTGCGGTGTACCCAATCAGATCAAATCTTCCCTTTCCGGTTAACTCCCGAGGTCAAAGTATGAAATTTTCGATCATCACTATTATAGCTGACAATAATACCGACACTAGGGACGAAAACCCGACCCAAGCCCAAACCCTCCCATCCTCGAACCCCACCAATCCCAAACCCCAGAACGCCAATGCCGGGGACTTCACACAGTCGGCTAATACAGATGGTACAAAGAACCAGGGCCAATACCTACCAGAGATCACCACCGCTAAGATGCAGAAGGTGAAGGTTCTAGACCATGATTCTAGGAGCCCGAGGGGCTGGGCATTGCTAGTCAAGTTCGCACTTGCATCGCTTTGCGGTAAAAAGCGTATACGGGTCTATGCACTAAGTAGTTATAGCATTTTCGTTAGCTAACAAAAGAGAAACTTCGGCCTAAGATACATAGTATGATTAAATCACCTGAGAAGTAGAGAATGACCGTGACCCGCGGCCGATGTGCGTTTCCGTAAAAACGCCCGCGGCGGAAGATGGAAAGCGCTTCAACACCGAGGCTCCGCGGTACTCCGCGGCCCGAACAATAAGAGAGAAGCCCAAACAGAAAGGTCGACTCTACAACATACTCCAGACCCGAAAGAAATTCCTTACTTTTGTCAAGCTAGGCCACCCGCTACTCTCTTGATTTCTATTTGTTTCAATCGTAACACTGTGACAATTAACCAGGTGTCATTAACCAGTGATACCCATATAATGCGAGTCATTGACCATACTTTGTAGTACCTATCGGGCTATCCAGAAGACCCCGGGGAAGGGGAATTTCTTGCCTATTGGAGCGATAGATAGTTCAAACTCAATGCAGTTCAATTGGGAAATTTCTATAATGATGAACTAAAGATGTGAATGTAAAAGTTTGATGTATCTAACACGCTACTTCAACGAGGGTGCGTCCTTCTTGCGCTTGATGAAATCGACGAGCGCCTTGTCGCGCTGACTCTCAACATCCTTGATTTCCGTGCGTTCCAACATGTCTTGCACACTATCATCCAGCTTTTGGATATTTTCCTCACTAAAAGTGAATGTATGGGAATCCATGTCTTCGAGCCACCCTTGTAAAGCAGGGCCTAAATGAGTGAGAAGTTGGCGAAACCCGTCCTTGCCTCCACCGCCACCTGACGCATTGGTCATGAACGGGCCAGTGAGTGCCCATCGAAGCCCGACACCTGTTGAGACGCAAGTATCTGATAAATGCATTAGCTGGATTCATACCAGCCTACTTTCGAGAAGACTTACCGCAATCTTCGGCTGAGACAATTCCCCGCTGAACGAGGCTATAAGCCTCCCTGATCAGAGCCGCCTGAAGCCGATTTGCCACGAAACCAGGGCATTCTTGCTTGACTAAGACGGGGCTCTTCCCCATTGCCTTGTAAAAGGACATGGCCACGTCCATGGTGACTTGGTTGGTCTTCTCGTGTGGTACGACCTCAACGAGCGGCATCTTTATTGAAGAAAATTAGCCCTATCATCAACAAGAAAGTCATATTTCGGAACAGTACCAAATGGGGTGGATTAAATGGATGACCGATCAAAACACGCTCAGGATTCTTACACTCGCCAATAAACTGCGAGGACGGAATGCCTGAGGACGAAGAAGCGATCACAACGTCTTTCCTTGCTTTTGCGTCTAGCAAAGCAAAAAGCTTCTGCTTCAAGTCAGGTTTCTCAGGTGCGTTCTGTTATAAAGGATGTCAGAGTGGATATATAAAATCATTATCAGGTAATACACACCTCCTGGATAAAGTCCACCTCGCTGCAATAATCATCCAAGCTCTCGCCAACAAAGGTACAATTGGAAATTGAAGCATTCTCGTGGAGGCCGAGTCCCTTGAGCGTTGGCCATGACTCATGTAGATATGCGAAAAGGCGATCTTCCGCACCTGGAGCGGGATCAGATACCAGGACTTTAAGTCCATGGGAAAGGAAAAGAGCTGTCCAGCTGGCACCGATAACCCCAGTGCCCACCACCCCAACAGTTCTGATAGTTAATGTCATGTTCAAATACTGGCTTAATTTAAGTCTGACAGCAGAATGGATATGAAAATCACTGATTGAGATGTATTCCTCTCCTTTATACTGTCTCTCACCTCTTGCCTTTATGGAACCCGTTATCTCGGGCCGAGGAAGCATAGCATCCCGACGCCACCTGGGTAGGATATGATCGGGTTGATAATACTGTTGATAGTCAACCAATCCCCGAGAAGCCGAGGAGAAATCGGCAAATGAGGATTGCTTTCCGGAGCGAAGTTGATGGTATCAGTGCGCTTATCGAGTGACTACCTAACTCCAGAGAAGCTTCAGGATCTTCCCGCATCTAGACCGCTAACTACTTACTCCTCACACAGATTCTACTTTCTGGTGTTTACCTGTTAATATTCGTAAAATAAGTTCTCACCCGATTCTTCTGCTGCTGAAAGAATAGAATACTACAAAAGTAAGTACTGAGATGGACAGCAGAAAGCACCAGGTTGGTGAAGAAATGGAAATTGGAATTGAATAGAGCAGTGAACATCCGTCAGGGAAGACTCCAGGAAGACCTACATTGGTAATGTATAGTAAAAAGTAGTGGCAGGTACACGCCTCTAGGCCGTAGGTCTGAATGTACCAATCAACGAAGAATAGAGGTATCATGTATACCACCATATCTAGCCGTCAATTCAGTTTGCTGTTATCAGGAAAGTGACTACGTTGAATGTAATGAGATGTAAGTAATATAATGTACGAAAGAAAGGCCTTTGAATGCTTGAAACCCTTAGCTCAAACATGTTTATATTCACTCTATCAAATGTTGTATGATGCCAGGACGATTCAGGTCAATACGCACGTCTGTCAATAGTGTTTTTCAAAACCGCCGCCTTCAAAACCATGAGGTATTGAAGTCGTAATAACAGTGCGGCACAGATGGACTGATCCAACGAGGCGTCGCAGAGTCATCACCTAGCCTGACCACTGGGCTGAGCAATTGTAAATGGCCCCAATGGCTCTTCTCAAAGGTCGTCATAAAGGGCGAATTCGGAGCAAAATACTCTGGGTATACCCTCTTCCAGCCATCCATGACGACCAGGAGCAATTCCGACACGTACTGAGAAGGTTCCATGGTCTTCCACTGGAAAGTCTCCTCGTTCTTTCGCACCACCTCCGGTGAGTAGAGTCCTATTTCTTGTTGGAGCGAAATGGCATCAGCGGCGACCAGGGAACTGAGCACACGGTAAGAGCCTCCATTTCGAGTGCGATCACGAAGGGCCATCAAAGCGCCGAGGGCTCCAACGAGGCCGGTTGTCATGTCCGAGATGGGAAGAGGTGGCAGAACACTGGTTCCATCCGTATAGCCAAGGGATCTTCCGGTCACAAAGGAGGCTCCCGAAGCCGCGTCTCCAATTTGCTGCCAGCCAGGTCTCTCGCGGAAAGGCCCATCCGGCCCATAAGCATTTTCCTCGACGTAGACAATTCCCTTGTTTCTCTTGCTGGCCATCTCCAGAAGATTGTGCAAGCCAAAGCCCTTCCGCTCTAGGGCACCTGGTCGGAAGCCTTGGATGAAAACGTCCGCATCGTTAACTAGCTCCTTCAGGCGAGCTGAATCTTCATCCTTGTTGAGGTCCAGATCAACGGTCCGCACTCCAGCGTTCAATGTCAATTGCAGAGCCTATTTTAGTCAGCCAACAGTATGAATTCATGGTGGAAATATATCTTACATTCAGATCCGGAAGCCTGCTGCAGTTGATGCGAATAACGTCGGCCCCAAGCGCAGCCAAAGTAGTTCCAATTACGGGGCCGGCAATGATTCGAACCAGCTCCACAACCTTGATGCCAGCCAGAGGACGCTTGTCTCTCGGCAAGATAGGCAAGGGAGATGGAGGTGTAGAGGCAGCATAAGACTGGTGGGAATAATTGACAAGGGGATGGCTCCGGAGTCGCTTGCCCATCAATGTCTCACCCCATCCCTCAGGAGTGTGGCAGATGCTTCCACAGAATCCATTCTTGACCATGATCATCTCCAGTTCGTCCGCGGTGAATTTCTGAACCTGCTCGCGAATAACGCTGTAGGCATCAGAGAGGGTCTCACATTTGGTTTCAGGATCAACGCCGATTGCGCGAAGGACGGGGTTTGCATTTAGCGACCCGTGTAGCTGGTACCAGACGCCAGGAGTTTTGGTAGGATAGATTGCAGTCGTTCGGAGTTTGAGGGGGTTGTCAAAAACGCCCTTTTCGAAATCACGGTCGAAGATAGAAGAACCTTTGCCCATCTTGATCGACTCGCTGACGTCGGATCCATTCAAGCGAACCGTCAGAATGGATCCAAGCCAAATCGCGGCTTGGTCGGTATTAATGGTGACCTCCCGGTCGTATACCTCTTGGCCGTCTCGTTCGGCCAGCAATTCATTGGCAACAACGCCACACATCGCATGAAGCGCAGCCGCAATAACGGGGGCCTTTAGAGGCCCGGGAATAATGGGATCATCGTGGCCCTCGAATTTGACCGAGTCCCAGATGCGAGGGTCTTTGGTAAAGTTTTCAGTTGCGTTGGCAAGAATTTCGAAGACTCGACGAGCGTCATCGGGAACAGGAAGGAAGTTCTCGTCGACAAAAGTGCCCGGGCCATAGATCTCCGGACAGGGAGTCGTCCTGTGTGATGCAGGCATTTTAGGATCAAGGAAATTTGAAGAATGAACTAGTGGAAGGAAAGGAATGCTTGGTAGCTTTCGTCGATGTTGCTCGCCGGTATTTATACTAATAGAAAAGCAAATGGCCTGGTAACAAGAGCCGAGGGCTTTGGCACTCTTTTTCCTTTCCATTTCAGATCAGAAACTCCGAGGATGCTCAGTCACCTTTCAGGTGTTTTGCTTAGGACTGGATGTTCGGTCATCCGTTTCGAAGTAATGTGCCGATGAAGCTGTCGGCCCGGTACCCCCTGTCCAGTCACCTGGGCATGACCTCGGGGGAAAACCAACCCCTCGGGTGCCGAGGATCTCGTAATCCCCGGTCCGAGACATCCAAATCGAAACAACCAATATTTTCAAGATATCATATAGAAAGTTCTAGTTCCCTCGTGGTTACCCTACCTCATTCCCTTTCAGCGCTCAACATGTTAAGCCAGCCGAAAGAGAGACTTACAAACCCTATTTCAATTATCGTGAAATTTAATGCAACTGTGAATCTTTGCATAGTACCGAAGTTTAAAGTTGTGGGGAACTAAACTGATCGACAAGGCGAAATGCAGTATTGGTAAATTTATCATGTATTGAGAACTATTGCCACAAACACACTCAAATGAATGAGTTTCAACAAAGATTTTCCAATATATCCAAAACGAGTACTGAGTTGAGATTGTGATCTGGTTGGTATGCGTAGCTAGAAATCAACGAAGAATGCGGCCTAGCACGGAAATGACATAAACTCCCTTAATGCATCTTTCTTGCTTAACATATTCATAAAAGTTCCACAGAGGGGTTCATAAGGTGCCAATTTCTGCATATGCAGATGGCAGGATCTCGAGACTTGGTGATGTTTTTGAACACGTCCTTGGATGATCAGCGGAATAAAAGAATGATAGATCAAACGGTTTGGCAACGTACATCGTGACTCAAGGTCTTCTTCTGCTGTATGGTACTCCTTTTTGAGAAGGATGATATTCCGCAACCGCACTGTTCGCATATACTTTTGTTGCTGAACGATAGAACCTCTTTTTGCTGGTTGGTAACGATAAAACAGGCCAGCCCCGAGTGCCGTGATGGCGAGGCAAACAACCAGGACGATGACAATGATGGCAACAGGAGCAAGACCCATGGCGGCTCAAGAAACTGAAATTCTGGTTATGTAGTAGCGGTCTTGATTGGGGTCTTTAAATTGATGATTGAAGTGCTAACGTTAGTTCAGTGCCCTGCGGGCGAAACGGTGGGGTCGATTGGATTTAGTTAAGAGCCTAGATTTATGGGTGCGAAACATGCGACCTAACGAGAAAATGAAACAATAGAGAGGGAGCCTGGGTTAGCGGAACGCCCGGAGGGGAGTGACTGATCAATGGGAGTTCCTTGAAACATGGACCGAGGAGTCACGTCTTGGATTGTGAAACTGCCTCGGCCTTCATTTTCACATAGTACGTTGATATCAGCAGATCGCTGGGGAAGACACAAGCCAGTAGGCCCACTGCGACAGATACGTGATACTCTGCCGCATGGGATATCGTAAGAAGCCTGGCTTCCTTGCTCAATGGTAACAAACCATTATCACTGGCAGCTACACAATTACAACCTTTTTTTTGATAGGAAAGACGAGATGCACACTATTGGGCGGACACTAGCGAAAGTCGGTAAAAGGCATTGAAACTAGTACGTCGTGGGAAGCCACCCCCAGACGTCTTATTGCTGTATAGCATTCTGTAAGAGTGCGTGGTTCTAGACTCGGCCAAAATTGAAGACCTTTTCTTCTTGCAGCCCGAGATAACAGGCTGCAGCAATCGATTATGGACTATATGCCTCGATGAGAGCATTGTCAGTCAAGGTGAAGGCGTTCAATATGACGAGCTGCTGTTGATTGAGGAAGTCAAGATGAGGAGAACTGTATCATAATGGAGCCGGCCTTCTTACATACTAACTGCTCAGCAATACTTCACCTAGTAAGCACGCCTATTTTTGATTAGGGTATATGCTCGTACATGCTGTCGGCCTGCAACCGAGGCCTGCTTCGGCCCGCGGAGTTGGTCCTGGACACGAGAACTACATAGTAGGGCGTGGCCATGAATCGTATTGGACGGGCGAAATAGATGGTGAAAATGGTTCACTGAGATTTGACCTGGAACTTTCCGTGCCTTTTGTTTTTTTTTAATTATTAATCTTCTGGCATAGATTTGTATACAATATAATATGTGTTGTTGATTTCTCAGAAAGATAATTGTCGTTCGCTTGAGATAAATCGCCATGTTTCCAAGAATAAGCAAGTCAGCCAGGGTTTGGAGTCCGTTACTACATCAAGACATAGACAAAGGTAGATCAAGATGATATTTGATTACTTTGATATATTGACTAGGGTGAATGTAATGAATGAAATGCGCCTCTAAGACCACCAACTCCTTAAGACCGAACGAGCCCATTGAAAACAATTAAGACTCATCAAATGCTGTTTCGTGAGAGATTTATTCACTGTTGCATATTGCTCGCGCGCAAATATCTCGTGAAGCTGTTGTCCTGTTCTGTTGGAGCACTTTGGGAGCCTGACAGAGCCTCCTGGTAACGCTGGGAGAGACCCTCATCATTGCCAGCGTTAGGGCCGACGTAGTCCTCATAATCACTGTCTTCTCCATCTGCCAATCCGCGCTTGATGATCTCATCTTCTTCATCTTCGGCTTCACTGACAGTCTCAGGCTCCTCTCCGGCGGGTTTCCTCGACGGCTGCCGGCTTGACCCAGACACATTCATGTCTTTCATTAGTTTTCCAAGTTCAAGCTCCCGCTGGGATGATGATTGATCTTCCCGCTCTTTCTTCTTGCGCTCCAATTCAGGCTTGTAATCACGTTCAAACTCCTGTCGCTTCGTCTCCACAGCCTCGAAGAACTCTTCAATGCCATCTCCAGTCATTGAGCTGACGCCAACGACGCTGAGGTGTCGATAGAATTCTTCCAACATGAGACTCATGCTGTTTAGAAGGGATCCCATGTATCCACTGCCAGAACCAAAGCCACCGGCACCGCCTTCAGCTCCAAAGGCGCCTGAGTCTTCCTCCTGCCGCAGTGCCTGCTGGAATGCATCAAAGTCGGTCATCCATTCCTTGGCAAACTCAGCATCCTTGACATCAGTCTTGTTGAAAACCAAGATCATGGGAAGCTTGGTCTTGTACAAGATACTGCATGCGTAGAGCATGTTGCTCATAAAGGTGCTGGTAGAGCTTGCGCGAGGTGTATCGATAACATATGCGATGACTGTCGGAAATGATGTCGCCATGGTCTCGAGAAGGATACTGCCCGATGCACTCCAGACAAAGACTTCGATTTGGCCGGGGGTGTCGACTAGGATGTGTTCGATTGGCTTTGCGGAAGGGTTTTCGGGGTTTGGGGCGGTGCGTTTCTCCAAGAGCGAGATGATTTGATCGACCTTGGTGGCGAACAGATTTAACGAAGTCAAGATTCCTCCATTAGGACCCAGGTTGTACTGTTTCATCACTTCTTTGTAATTGATGGAGTCACGGATATCGATGTTGCTCTCGAAGGGCACCGAGTGCACCGCGGGGTCGAGGTTGACCACATATGGGACGGTCTTCTTTTCATGCAGATAGGAGTTGATTCTTTGCATGAAGGTAGTCTTGCCTGAGCCTATTCAATCCATAATATTGATGATTAGATCACTGCAGATAAGTGAGGGGCGATCAGCATATCAGCATCCTTACCAGCCATGCCCACGCAAACCACGGACACCGGAGATGCCATAGTGAAGGTAGATTATAGAAAGAAAGTTTCGATTAATGATCAGAATACAGAGACCTGTGTGGTCGAAATGTATTATTCAAGGGTGGAGGACAAGTGAAGAAAGATAAGCTTCTTTTTTTCTGCTCGAAATCTTTTTTTGTCGCGGGGAAAGATCTACGGTTGGACCGCCCGGCATTTTATCAACGTCATTCCAACTTTTGCCTTTTTGCTTCAGTTCCATCCCTTTTTCACATATCAGAGCACCATGACTCTAGAAGATTTTGAGAAAACATTGGCAGAGGGGAAGGAGCAGCGACACGAAAAAAGCGAAGGGCGACATCATCGAGATCGAAATCGCGATCGCGACCGCAGCAAAGAGCGCTCCAGACAACACCGTCATCATTCCAGCAACCACCACCGGCGGCATTCCTCCAGATCTCGCGATCGGGACAGCGAGCGAGTTCGTGAATCCCGGCATCGCGACGACGATGGCCACCGGCACAAGCGTTCACGTCGGTCCGACGACCAAGGAGACGAGCATGGCCATAAACGCCATCACCGGAACTCCAAAGACGAGGGGGAATCCGCTGCTCCTCTAGTAGTAGTACAAGAGGAGCCCAGTAATCTCAAACGGGACGCCTGGATGGAAGCGCCCTCGGGTCTGGACGTTGAATATGTTCATCGGCCGGATTCGACGCGACAGGAGGAGCCGAAACCAATAATGCTTTCGGCAGACTACGAACTCAAAATCCACGAGAAGGAACTCAACCACCATCTACGTGATCTCAAAGATGGAAAAACAGTCGAGGAAATAGAAGACGAGCCTGCCTCGCATGAGGTAGACTATACCTTTGGGGATTCGGGGTCACAATGGAGAATGACGAAGCTCAAAGGCGTATACAGAGAGGCGGAAGAAAGCGGCAGGCCTATTGACGATATTGCTACTGAGCGTTTTGGAGAACTTCGCGCCTTTGACGACGCTCGGGAGGAGGAAACCGAGATTGATCGGCGCAAGACGTATGGCAAGGCCTACGTGGGCAAAGACAAACCTAGCGGGGAGCTGTTCCAGGAAAGGAAACTCCAAAATAATATCCGAAGAAGTCCTCTTGAACATGTTCGTGATCCAGAGCAGGAACTCAAGGCCGAAGGCCAAGGCAAGAAAATGGACACTGTGCCTCCTCCGCAGACTAGCCGTCACCTCGATATGACGGCATTGAATCGTCTGAAAGCCCAGATGATGAAGGCAAAGCTCAGAAAAGCACCTGATGCCGCCGATCTTGAGGAACAGTACAATACAGCAGCGGCAGCATTGTCAAACCGCAAAGAATCCGATGTCGTGGTCCTTGATGTTATGCATAACCCGATGCTAGCAGGCTCAAGGAATGAGGTCAAAGCCATCGACACTAAGAGAGGTCGGGAAAGAGGCCAGGTGGAAGCAAACGAAGATATGAGCATTGAAGATATGGTGCGAGAAGAGCGCAAAACCCGCGGCCAACCTGGCGGAGAGGGCCGGCGGTTGGCGGATCAAATTGGCCGTGATGCCAAGTTCGAGGTCAGTGCTAGAATTATATGTGATGACCCTCTGTTCCCCCTGCTAACCTATGTCTAGAATGATTTGGAGTATATGGACGACAATGCATCCAAGCTGGCTAAAAGAGTTCATCGATCTGAGATTGACCTCAAGAACACAACGATCAATGACTTCCACAAGATGAACCGGATATTGGACAACTGCCCCCTTTGTCACAATGAAGACAAGGGCACGCCTCCACTTGCCCCAGTGGTATCCCTTGCGACCAGGGTCTTCCTCACACTTCCTACCGAACCTGAGATCAGCGAAGGAGGTGCTACCATCGTACCAATCCAACATCGCAATAATTTGATGGAATGCGATGACGATGAGTGGGAAGAAATCCGCAACTTCATGAAGAGTCTCACGCGTATGTACCACGACCAAGGTCGAGATGTGATCTTCTACGAGAATGCAGCCCAGCCACAACGCAAGAAACATGCATCCATGGAAGTCGTGCCTTTACCCTACAGCCTAGGAGAGACCTCTCCTGCATTCTTCAAAGAAGCAATTCTCAGTGCCGAGTCGGAGTGGTCGCAGCACCGCAAGCTTATCGATACTCTTGCCAAATCAAAGCAAGGGTTAGGCCGGTCTGCCTTCCGCAAAACCCTCGTGAAGGAGATGCCCTACTTCCACGTTTGGTTTGAACTAGATGGTGGCCTGGGTCATATTGTGGAAGACGACAACCGCTGGCCTCGTGGAGATCTCTTTGCTCGGGAGATCATCGGAGGAATGCTGGATGTTGCGCCGGACGTTATCAAACGACAAGGACGCTGGAACCGTGGTGACCGCAGGGTTGACGGATTCAGAAAACGCTGGAAGAAGTTTGACTGGACGCGTATTCTGGTTGAAGGCTAGTGAGCCTGGAGTTGGTCCCTCGACACACTGTATTGTACACATATACTCAAACATTTACTTGAGCCGTAATGAGTTTCATTTTGAGAGTTGAAAATAAGTAGTCGCCATGGTCTCAAGCATTTTTTTATTCTATCCAATATCATACTGGACTAGGATAAAAGCACCGCTCATGGCCAACATCTTAGTATGTCAACAGATAACGACATCGGCATTCAAGCCGACGGCTACGGGACGAGACACCGGTTACTCCGCAGTTGAGCACTAGAAGTTTATCTCCCTCTAGAGAACCGGAGATTAGCATAACAGCCGGTATCAGTTTCGATATCTTTCGAGGATTCAATATTCAAACACTAACAAACCCCTGGAGGAGACGGGGAACTTCCCGATAAGCGTGGAGCACTTTTTCTCCTTCTCGGCCGATGCTTAGTATAATAAATGAAGTTATGACTCTTATTGACTCGAGTTTATCTATCTTCTGTTCCTTTGAATCTATTGTCCTAAAACCTCTTGCAACGATTAGGTCAATTGGCGCCTTGGTCAGACATCGGCGGTGAGCTTATCGGTAAGTTCATATATGTCAAGAGAAGGCGTCGGGATATTTTAACCCAAAGTAAAATTGAAAGGGGAATCTTTTGAATTGATTATACCTTCCTCGCCTGCTCAAATCACTAATTGTCTCGCTTACCACAGAACCAACTACTGTCAATACATCAGAATGGGTTCTACCGGCCCCAAACCTAAGGTTCTACACCTTGGTAGTATCAACCAGTGCGTTCCTCCCATTCATTTGCCCCATTGATATCCATTTCATGATATTAACATCCTTCAAACACAGTGCGCAGGCGGCCTGGAATGCATTGGGTGATATCGCAGAGCTAGTCGAGACAGCGGCAACCAACCGAGCCGAGTTCATCCAAGAGTGCAAAGACGGCAAGCTGGATGGCGTTGTCGCGATATACCGAACAATTGGCTCTGTGACTCAAACAGGGCTCGTAGACGAAGAGCTATTGAATGTGCTACCAAGCTCACTCCGATATATCACGCACTGTGGTACGTCGAGTTTAGGGTATGAGTGCTCAAATTTGTATATGTTGACATGGGGCCTCTATAGGAGCCGGATATGATCAAGTGGACGTTCATGCCTGCAGTGCGCGCAACCCCCCGGTCCGGGTTTCCAATGTCCCGACTGCAGTGGACGATGCCACTGCCGACGTGAACATCTTCCTGATTCTTGGTGCATTGCGCAACTTCAACACCGGTATGAACGCCCTGCGTGAGGGCAAATGGCGTGGAAACCCGGCGCCTCCTCTCGGACATGATCCCCAGGGAAAGGTTCTTGGGATTCTGGGGATGGGTGGTATTGGACGTAATTTGAAGAAGAAGGCAGAAGCCTTTGGGATGAAGGTCATCTATCATAACCGCCGCAAGCTCAGTGATGAGATGTCTGCAGGTGCTAAATATGTTTCTTTTGATGAGCTCTTGTCTACCAGTGACGTGGTCAGCTTGAATTTGCCATTGAATGTAAGTGTTTCCATTTTTCTCTATGATGATCATCTAGAAAAGAGAACGCGAAAAGAAAATGGAGTATGTTCTGATACTAATTGCTTGAAGAAACACACGCGTCATATTATTGGCAAAGCCGAGTTCGCTAAGATGAAAGACGGTGTGGTAGTGGTCAACACTGCCCGCGGCGCTGTTATGGACGAGGCTGCTCTGGTTGATGCCTTGGACAGTGGTAAAGTGTTCTCGGCTGGTCTCGATGTTTTTGAGGAAGAGCCTCGGATTCATCCTGGGTTGCTCAGTAACCAGAATGTGATTCTGGTTCCCCATATGGGCACTTGGACTAGTGAGGTGAGTTATATATTTTCCCATAAAGATGGCATGAAACTGACTTGCCAAAAGACAATGCTTGCCATGGAAGAATGGACAATTGGGAACATCCGTATGGCTCTTGAAGTTGGAAAACTGAAGAGCCCAGTTCCGGAGCAGGCGGACCTTTAAAGACTTGAGACCTTTGAAGAGTATTGGGCAAGGTTATTTTGATGGTTCATAGCATAGTACATTGTATCTAGGAATGACCCTGGACGGTCCTCAAACTCACCCGGGTTTTAAGCTCTGACTGGCTTGAGACATGAGAGCTGTCAAAATTAGTAGTGAGAGTGTATTTATTCTCACTTTATTCTCACTTTAAGCTTTACTTTCACTTCACTTCCTATCGTCACTTTCTTACACTACGCGTACTACCGCCGAAGTTATTAACGACTTATATTAAGGGGGCGTATTAAGAACTATAGATTCTCTAATACGTAGGCTATTTAATACCGTCCCTAACTACCGGCTATACTACTAGGAACACTATAGAACTTCGCTATACTAAGCGTAGCGAGTGCCACTTCTATAAAAGCCTACACATTCTATATTATAGACTTTGGGACATTTACACATTTCAATTGTACACATACATTGTTAAATATTCCTTCCTTTTCTATCTGGTTACATGCAGTATTCATTCACCTTGTAATACTTCAACAGAGCTAGAAGAACGGCCTAGGGCGGGGTTTCGCGGCAGATCTACGGTCCATTATCTCGCCTACCCTTCTTTACTCTTTTTTTTAACTCCGTACCTAGTTCTGAATTTAATCTATTATTATATAATCAATCCTATCTCATACAGGCTTGAGTGGCTTTCCCAGTCCAGTTCGTACGGCAGTCTAATTCTCTATTCTTATAAAACCTGATCTCACCACCTACTTGTCTTATTTAGACTCAGCGCTCCGTCATGGCTGAATTCTGGAAATCAGCTGTCAGTGTGTATCCTTGACTGTCTAGAATCCCGCTAACCATTTCACAGCCGCGCTACTGGTGCAAACAGTGCAAGATCTTCATCCGTGACACGCCCTTCGAAAAGACCCAACACGAAGCCAGCCCCAAACATCAAGGCAGCCTCAAGCGCTTCCTTAGACAAATTCACAATGACAATGAACAAAAACAAAGAGACTCGCAACGTGCGAAAACCGAAGTCGAACGATTGCGACAGGCCGTCGGTGGCGGGTCCTCTGACAAAGACAGCGCGAAAGGAAACGCACCGCCAGCACCCAAATTTACAGAACGGCCTGCTTCCCTAGACGAGCGAAAGAAACAGATGGCACAGCTCGTGGCAATGGGTGTCGCCGTCCCCCAGGAATTCCGCGCCGATATGGCCTTAGCAGGGGATTGGGAGACGACATCAGAGACAAGGATCGAGGTCAAGCAGGGGTTAGAGGGCCCCACAAAGTCTGTTGGAATACGCAAGCGCAAACTTGAAGGCGAAGAGGAGGGAGATGAGCATGCGCCTGAACCTATTGTCAACAAAGGTTGGGGCTCGAGGATGAGGCAATACCCCGGCGCACAAGAGGAAGAGGGCCTGGATGATCTGTTTGCATCCACAAAAGATATCAAGAGGACAAAAACCTTCATCCCGAAGGTCGAGCTTGATGAACAGGAGACAGCCACCGAACAACCTAACCCTACCGCAAAGACAGAAGATGCCCCTTCCAAGCCAGAGGCGCAAGAGACGAATGAGTTAATTGAGGTCAAGACTGAAGAGCCCGTTCAATCTTCAGTAGAGCCAGTAATTGAAGAGAAACCGCAGAGTGAAGATGCTGCGCCCGGTGTCATCTTCAAGAAGCGCAAGCCGAAGGCAATGAGGAAATAGTCGCACCTTGAAAGAATGCGATATCCGCAAAACTTCCTTGCCATGGCTTAAATTGAAATGCAAGCCCATGCCCTTGATCATTTTAGTTGCTCGTGGGGCCTTATACATCCGACTCCAATCCGTTGGCCTTGGCCCATGACCCCGCAAGGCTGCAAGTCTGCAACCGTGTTGCTTTAAGCAACAGGCACACATTGCACGAATTCCACGGTGCCTAGCAATATCAGAGATGTGCGAAAGTCTTCGACAAAAATCTTGTGGCAGAAATTTCGTTCCCCAGGATGTACACTTCGAACCCATTCACCTAGAGGATCATTTACAAGCTAAGCCTTCTGTGTTGAATGCTTATCGTCAAACGCGTCCCCCTATTGGTAGGAACATGTGCAGCTCTGAAGCATGAAGCTTAGACTATGTAGGGTTGAATCATGCCAACGCCTTTTCGCAGGACAATCTATATCTTCCATAGATTCCATGGGTTTTGACCAGAAGGGCAGAGTGCAACACTATTAATTCGAACCTATGTTAATCGAATTTAAAATAAGACAATAATCTAACATATTCAGAAAGCAAATAAAACAAGTGTAAATAATGTACATATTGTCCATATGACAACGGATACAAAATACAAAACCTCGGAGTATGGAATGTTGGGGTAGAAAGCGGTGTTTGCCACTATAATTTTTTTTCCTTCGCAATCAAAGCGGAGAGTTTCAACGCCGGAAAGGAAAGCTCCCTTAAGCCTCTCTTTCGCGCTTTTCCTGACCGCCGACTCTCACATTTGCATAGTCTCCCTGTGATTTGTGTTTCTGTCGATCTAATTCTATAAATCTATCTACTCGGTAAGTCTTGAAATTCGAAGTCGCGATCCCCGCAGCCCTATCCCTCGACATGCGCATCGTCTCGCGCCGGAGCCTCAACCTGTGCGATACGATATCCAGTATTCCTGCTGTCAAACGAGGTCGTTGAGTGCTGGATTCTACCTCGCGATGCTTTTCCGAGACCCCGTGGGAGTTGTGAACAGATGGTTGCATTTGAGGCTGGTCGGCCAGCGCGAATGCGACCTACAAAACCTCAATTGGCCAGCACGATATCTGGACATGCCACGAAGTGTCCATATCCTTGATGTGGAATTTCGTACAAATGCACGGTCCTTGCGCTCAGTACTATATCCTGCGCATGGTTTATCCGCCGATTGGATTTAAAGACGTGGAAACGGAGGGCCTGCGCTAGCAGGTGCTTCTTAACTGTCGATGCTCATGATCGACACCGAGGACTCTGCCTTTACCGCGCCCTATCACTCTCCGCTGCGGGACACTTATGATATTGCTGGCCGAATATTTTGACTAACAAATCCTGGACCCCACAGACCATAGGGAATAAATGATTTCTAACTCCCCATCCGTTCGACCTGGTGTGATTTCTTCGCTCAGCCACAAACCAGACGACCTTTGACCTTGCCTACTCGAATACTCGACCTTTACCCAAGAACGTGTCCTCGAAGCCTACTTGCAAAATACCTACCAGTTTACTCATCCGATCGAGACTTTCTTCGGGAGACTGTGAATTCCAATATGGCGGAGCCGACGGACTCGAGCGCCCCGCCTGGCGAATCCACCAATCCTGCGACCGAACCGAATGCGCCAGCTGTTGAGACAGCCCAACCTTTAGCCCAGAATGAGCCGCTCCCAGTGGAAACGAATCAACCCCCCGTGGAAACAAGCCAAGAACCGGTAGCGCTAGCACAACAAGCTCAACCAGCAGAACCAGCGCCGCCAGAACCGCCAGTCGAACCAGCACCGCCGGAAGTACTACCAATACCAGAAGTGCCCGCAGAGCCAAATTCGTCCGCTGCAGGCCCACCACAGGATGCGAGCGCGTATCAGCCAGAAGAAGCCACCCAGCCAACACAAGGCCCAGATGTGACACTACCGTCTGTTGAATCATCACTTTCAGCGATTGATCCATCACTTCCCGCCATGGACACATCAAATGGCTTCGATGATTCAGAATTGCACTCCTTTGATGCGTTACCTTCATTAGGTTCATCTGCGCCCCCCGATATGTCACTGCCTGCGATTGATACAAGTCTCCCCTCTCTCGACCATTCCTTACCAGCGATTGGTACCGATGATATCCCAACAATGGATGGCCATGATTTTGGTGACGATAGTCATTTGGATCATCACGATTCGAACGCCGGCATGGCAGACTCTACGGGTGGGCATGACAATGGGGGTGTGAATGGTGCATCTCACTATCATCCCAACGGTTCATACCAATATTCGCATAGTCCTGCTCAATCACAACAACCAGGAAGCCAGCAGTCACCGCAGACGCATACCCACCAATTCCAGGCACAGCCGCAACATTATCAGCAAAACGACATGTATCACAACTCCGGTTCCCAAGGGCAGGTGCCACAGGCACCGATCGGATCACCGCTCCCAAACAATATGCCTCCGATGGCTTCTATGGGGCAATACATGGCCGGATATCCCTCCAATATGGGGAATGCGCAAATGCGATATCAACTCCCGGGGGACCCGAACAAGATGTTATCAGGTAATAGACACAAGAAAGAAGTCAAGCGACGCACAAAAACCGGTTGTTTGACTTGTCGCAAACGAAGAATTAAGGTGAGCGCAAATGTAGTTTTCGCGGGGCGGAGTCTCTCGCTTGTGCCCGCCAGACCCCGCCATTTTATTTTGTCCGCTTAAATCCACCTCCCTCTCAACCTCCAACTTTTTTTTCATTTGGTTTTTTTGCATATCTGGATATTCTCAAGTTCTAACTCTCCTTTAGTGTGACGAAGCACATCCGGTCTGCAGAAATTGTGTGAAGAGCAAACGTGAATGTTTGGGCTACGATCCTGTGTTTCGGACTCAAGCATCTACACCATCAGCTATCCAACCAGCTCCTAACCCTCCTCCTTCGCTGGTTGTCAATCCTCAAGGCCCTTCTACTTCATCAGTACCTTCTTACCCTTCCTATCCTTCTGCGCCTCCCGGGTACATGCCCGCTTCGTCTCAACCATTCGCACCTTCCCTCCACTCCGAATCGCCCACTGCCTCTGCCGATCAACACGAACACGGAGCTTCCCTTGATTCTTCTTTGGCGACAACCCATCATTCCAATCATACAGAAATGCAGAACACTGGCGTACCACGTCAACAGGGCTCAGAGCCTTCGTACAAGGGTGAGTTCATATAATTTGTTTCCTGAATCTGCACATTGCAGCATTGCACACGGGTAGCTAACAATCTGTCTCCACAGCAAAAAACCTCTATGTCAACGACCTCTTCTCTTTGAGGGGAATCGCCCCTCCTCCTCCCAACCCCGTTGCAACTCTTCCCCCCGGCCGCCTCGAAGAGATCCAGGCAGTTTTCCTGGCCACCTACGCACCTGCGATCGACAAGCTTCTCGAGGTTCGCTGGTATTCAGAGAATGCTCTCTCATTACTCATGGCCGATGCCCAGCTTATGGCAGATTATTCGGCTTTGATTATCGCGTTCAATGAATGGGATCTCCAAGACGGTGAAACTCTTGCTCGTCTAGAGAGCTTCGAGGCCTCAATAATCTGGAAGAGCATGTCGTTGTGTCGCCAGGTACCGGACGGGGAAACTGGACAACAGGGGCGAGACTGGAATCTCTGTGTGTCTTGCGCACGGTTAAACGTGGTCGAGGCATTGCTTACTTGGAACCACCTGGACTCAAACCCCTTGTCACGGGAGCTGGTCATGGATGCCGCCAACCCCCCGAACACTCCAGATCAGTTCCAGAGCCGCCAATTGGATTTCTGGGACCAGGTCGGAGAATTCCTCACACTTTATGACAACGAAGCAAGCTCGGCCAAGCAGATCGATGACACCCTCAGTCGCTGTCGACAATTGCTGGACACATACGAGAACCGTGACATCATCTATTCCATCTCCGTCGCACGTCACCTAGGACAGCGCTGGGCTGACTTCCCCAACAGCCTGCCCAAGGTGGGCTACACTACCGAGAAGGAGGCGGGAACCAGGCTCTTTGTCGCACAGAAGTTCCTCGAGGAAGAAGCCGAGGGCAAGGGCACAACACAAGTCTACAAGCGGGTTTGCTGCATGGCAGTCCGCTCATGGTGGGTTGCTCGCGGGTAATCCACTCTATTGTGACCCAACATCGCTTCCGAGCGTCTGCATTGCCCCTCATACTCTTTCATTACTCCTTGCATAATGAGTTCCTAAACAAGGGCCATTACACCCTCCTCTCGATCCTGCGTCCTCACGGGGTTTTCATCTTGTTCTTTTGCGGTCGACAAAACAAAAGCATCATGGTCAGGCGTTAAGTTTTCTTTTGCTCTGAATGATACGATCTCAGTTCTCTGCCTGTTTACATTTCTTTCTTTTTTTTTTCTATTGGGGGTTAGGGGACTGGGCAGTGAGCGAGCAAAGCACTACGGCGTTTTGGCCTTTTCTTCCCCCCCCGAACATGTGGAATTATAATGATTCTACCTGTCTTGTGTACATATAGACCGGATAATGTCTGTCACTCGAAATCTTTTTCTTTTCTGCTGTAGTTCTTTTACCTCGTACTGAGATTTGATTACCGAGTAAAATATCACTTCACCTGATATATAACTTTGGCCTGGTAATGCAATTAGAAAAGGTAAGCCTTCTGTTTCAGCTCTCTTTAAATGTTTGATATGTTTACTTCAGTCTCACTTGGACATCGACCTAACCATCGCACCTTCCTAAACAGAACTTGAACCCTGTCAATATCCAACAACTCAACCCTCCCTTCCTCCCTTCCTCTCTTCATCTCTCTTCATCTCTCTTCATCTCTCTTCATCTCTCCTCATCTCTCCTCATCTCTCCTCATCTCTCCTCATCTCTCCTCATCTCTCCTCATCTCTCCTCATCTCTCCTCATCTCTCCTCATCTCTCCTCATCTCTCCTCATCTCTCCTCATCTCTCCTCATCTCTCCTCATCTCTCCTCATCTCTCCTCATCTCTCCTCATCTCTCCTCATCTCTCCTCATCTCTCCTCCTCTTTCCTCATCTTTCCTCATCTCTCCTCCTGGCATGGCCCTAGCTCTGAGAACTTGAATCAATACCGAAAAGCCTGCCCCCTTGTGGTTCCTGCCGTTTCTGCCTCCTTGTACTTGGGATACAAACGCTCATGCTAGCAAAAATGAAATGACCACGCTACATCCGAAACGACTGATGAACGTGGGCTTGGGAATCGGTCGGACCTTCGCCTCACTCGACTTTAATAGGCACATACAACGTGTCCTTGCATAGAATGTGCTTTGCTGGTGAGACGAGGAAAACTTTCGGGTTCTGGACATGAACAGTCCCCATTCTTGCCTTGGAACATGTCGATGGCTGCTCGTGGGCAGCGGTGGGCGAAAAGAAATGCTTCCTCCGACCCAGCGACCAGGATGTCTCGCAGCCCAATCGGTGGCTATATGACATGGTGAAGGCCGCTCATTTTGTGAGTAAGATGTGATTTTGTCTATCACAACAAAAGCTAGGGGCAATTCGAGGCTGTAAGTTTATTTGCCGGGCATAGTATACCAGGCCCTAACTTGGTTGTGCTATAGCTCATTAGTGTACCGATCCTGGGATTCACAGTTTACAACGAGTGCTTCGAGCTCAAATCCATCTTTTGGAGCGCATACTCTGAGAGATGAAATCAGAGTGTAGAGCTCGTGGGTGAAATGCCATCTGAAGAATCATGTTATGGCATTTAAGGCAGTCAAAAAGTCCCTTCTTAAGCATCGACACGATGCAGAGTACGCGACGTCGTGGTGTCAAGGTGCTACACCTTGGGGCGAGCATACATATCGAATCACAATCAAGTAAGTACTGGTCAACTGGGCCGGCTTGGGGAACTCTTTGTAGGGCATTGAAACTGACTTATGGAGATAGGAAGGCCTCGTTCTTAGGCAACAGGGAAGGGAATGTGGATCTGCGAATACCCTTTGCTTTTGTTTTTATTCTTAGCGAAATGAAAAGGTAAAAGCCATTGTGGCCAGGACCTGTAGGCATGGGCCCTTCTGGTTTTTCAGATACTCTTCTTACTTTTATACTTGATTGAATCAATTCTCGGTAAATTTACGAATACTGCAGATCTTGATTAAATTGTTCTAGGTCTAGAACGACTATCATCTCGAAGCACTACCTCATAGACGAATAATCAGAAATCTCAATCCGAATCCTAATCTCTCCCACTTCACCCTGGAACAAGAACCCAATATCCCTTGTTGAATCAACCAGCTCCACCTCCCTACGCACAAACCGACTCTTATCAGGTCCATCGCCCGTTGTCTCGGAGGCAATATCAGGTCGATCATCATCCTCATTATCCTCATCCCATTCAACAACGCCCTCATCACCAACTTCCTTCTCCACAGGATCCCACTCATCTGTCTCCCAGACCAACCGGAATCCAAACGCCGGTAGCCCGAAGAGCCGCGACACAAGCGCCTTGACCTGGTACGTATCGAACGAGCCAGGGATCTCTTTGACTTGACACTTGGATTCGTCGTTTCCAAGTGGCAGACGGAACGCCATCTTGACCAGTCGGGCTGCTACGGACCGCGGATGGATGACTCTCGCGCCTGAGGAATCCGATACAACTGCTCTTGTGATAGTCGGCTCGACGTATAGTTCGCACAACTCGCTGTACCGTGGGTGTGCAGCAAGAATGGCGGGTTCTTCTGCCTCAGTTGTGGCAGAGAGTTCTTTGCCGATGAGGGATAGGTAGTACATCTCTGCGTTGGAGCGGTCTTGTGGTGAGATGATGCTGTAGTTTAGGGTGGTGAGGGAGGACGGGAAGCGAGATAGGGTTAGCATGAAGGCTTCGTCGACGGTCATTGGTTTGGAGGCTTCTGTGACAGAGGGTGGGAGAGGCGGTTGGTCGAAGAGGGGGTTAGCAGTGATTCGGAGGGTGGTTAGGCCTGGGAAGACCGTGGGGAGTTTGTTGAGGATGGTCCAGGAGGGGATGTTGTTGCGGGATATATCGAGGGAGCGGAGAGTTGGCGGAAATTGGAAGTCTAGGGTTGTATCTGTGGTGTTTTGGTTCACGGTGCTGATGCCGTTCCCACGAACGGAGAGGTGCTCCAATTTTGGAAGCACGGCGAGATGGCGAAGAGCTGATATTGAGGTGATCTCATTGTGCTCCAGGGTTAATGTTGTGATGGTGCTAGGTAGTGGACAAGTTATCTCAGAGAGCTGGTTCGCAGATGCTGTGAGAGATGTCAATCCAGGGAATCGATATGCAATGGCAGTAATCTATGTCCGAAGTCAGCTTTGCTCAAGATTATACGTGATGGATAGGGCACATACTTCATCCCAGCTAAGTAGGGTTTCTTCTAAATGTAGTTCGGTGATCCCCTTGAAGGCCAGGTCATCCTCCAAAGCTTGAAACCGGTTTCCGCTATTCTCCAGTCAGCTCTACTATTGGCGAATTGACCAAATTTGAGACTTACTTCAACTTCAGCTTCTTCAGGTGTTTAAGCTGATTGCAAATATCCCAAACATCGCGCCACCGACTCAATAAGCTTCGACTGAGATCAAGTTCCGTGATCTTGGGACAAGTTTCTCCAATCTTTTGTGCTGCCTCACTATGTGAGGCTTGAGCCTGGTTGTAAGATGCAAGGACTCCGGCAACCCGTAAACCATCAAGCAAGACAATGCGTAACTCTTGGAGCTCAGCAAGCTGTTTCCGAATTTTGTCGAAGCCAACTTCTTCAACAACCTTGCCGCTAATTTCAATTGCCTTGCCTCGAACTGTTGCTCCACTAGCCAAGGCATTTTGGGCAAGGCTGTGCTCAGACTCAGAGGCATACTTCTCCCGCAGGGCTTCTAGAAAGCTCAGAGGCTGGTCTGAAGGCCTGGAGGGGCGAACAAAAGACCCCGCCGTGGGATGTTTGCTTTTGCCTGAAGTCGGGTTAGCAACAATCCGGATTTAAGAGAAATTATATTCATACATGAGAAGTATCTGACGCCTTTATGCTCTCCTGAGTGCTTGCCTCGACTTGCATCATCCCATTCGACACCCAGCCAGTCGCCAGTGGTCCCTTGAACAGTACCCACATAGCGAATAGTACTTAAGTGACCATCAAACGACCGACGTTGGCCTACAACTGGGACACTCATAGCTCAAGCTAGACCTAACGGGCCGTTTGTTCAAGTGTTTTGGTTAGTGCTGCTTTGTACAGTGATCCATAATATCGCCCAAACAGCCAGCTTATATAATCAACGGCATTTCACCTGGGCTTCACTTGGGCTCACTTGGATTAATGGCTGAAGATCATACATATTCTATGTGATACTATATGCAAGGCATTATATATATGGTATAAAGCCTCAGCACAGCTAGCAATCCATTTTTAGAAGCTTTTTCTTATAAAAACAAGCCAATGAAGGGACATGTTTTAGCATGTAAAATCATAACCAGGTACCTCTATTAGGAAGGCGGTACTGGCAGAATTAAGAAGGCGGTCCATGCGGATAATATGGCCAAATACTATAGAGGTCCGAATATGATTTCCGTACACTTGGGAATTCAAATGCTAAGATGACCTCTTGATAACTGAAGTATAAGACTATAACTTATAAAGAGCTAGATATGTATTTTGTACTAAGGCCACAGCCATAATAATAATTGCCGTGGCTGACGGTGCTATGTTTACTACGATAGGAAGGCGGTCGCTGTGCTGCAGATACCGCCTTCGCAAAACACCATGGATAGTGAACTCCACCAACTTTCTTCAAGCTCCAGCGCCGACAAGATGGATTACCAGGTACGTACACCACGAGCTGGCGCATCGCCATATTCTTCATCAAGAATCATATCATGCTAACACATCCCCCAGAACCGAGCAGGCTCCAAATTCGGCGGCGGCGGCGTCGCCTCGAAATCCGCCACCAATGCAGACCGACGCGAGCGGCTGCGCAAGCTTGCCATGGAGACAATGGACGTCGAAAAAGACCCCTACATCTTCAGGAACCACCTGGGCACATTCGAGTGCCGACTCTGCCTGACAGTCCACCAGAACGACGGCTCGTATCTCGCCCACACGCAGGGTCGCAAGCACCAAACGAATCTCGCACGACGAGCTGCGCGCGAGGCGCGCGAAGGCAAGAACCAGGACCCATCGTCTATGCCCGGAGTCGCGGGTGTGCAGGTCAAGAAGCAGCTCATCAAGATCGGCCGGCCCGGATACAAAATCACCAAGGTCTTGGACCCTCTGACGCGCCAGCAGGGCTTGCTGTTCCAGCTGCAGTTCCAGGAGATCACTCCTGGTATCACGCCCCGTGTGCGCTTCATGTCGGCTTTTGAGCAGCAGGTTGAGACGCCCGATAATAAGTTCCAGTACTTGGTTGTTGCTGCGGAGCCTTACCAGACTTGTGCGTTTAAGTTGCAGGCTAGGGAAGTTGATCGTCGGGATGAACGCTACTGGACTTGGTTCGATGAGGATAGTAAGGAGTTCTGGATTCAGGTTATGTTCAAGACTGAGCGGGAGGAGATATTCAGTGGTGTGCCTGGTCTGGCGCCCATGCAGACTTGAAATTCTTTCATTCCTATGCCCTTTTTTTGCTCATTTATCTGTCTTGCTCTGTTTTTCTTTCGGACACGCATCAAAAGATGGTGGTTGTCTCTATGGCGGGAATCAGGATAGGCGTTTCGGGGTTGTTCCATGTTGCTACTTAGTTTTTATCTGATTCTCGAGCGACTCGCTTTTCATGACAATTGAAATTCAATTTTGATGGCAGACATGCCATCAACAATACTTCCAATGTTTCTTATGGTCCTATGTATTACTTAGCTGGCCGAACGAGTCCACGAAACAGCAGTCATAGTACTAGGCAACCAACCAAGTCATTGCTTGCGGCTGAAGTACTAACATACAATGCAGTGTTCTCTATTTTACAGGCTCAAAGCACATTCGACTGTGAATCCACCGAGTGTATGAGGACTGTGTACTGAGAAGGGCGGATATAGTCAGAAAAGACAAGTGCATTGTATTTTTTTAGGGTAATATCCTGACTATCCTAAAATCAGTCAAGTCTCTCCGAAGATGTAACAAGTAGTGTGTGTATCGTCTTGAGAAGGATGCAAGGCGTTAGATACATATGTATCAACAAATGAAACCGAAGATGGGTCATGATTCGGGAAAACAACATCGCGCTGATATGCTCAATGATAATGGGCAACGAGGTGAAAACAAAACCGAGATTTTTTCTGATCGACAAAAGAGTACCACTGAGAAACGAAGGATGCAAGCCCTGCTTGCTTCCATTGTCCTCAGGAATCGGTCAGCCTCGGAACACAATAAACAAACTAAGTAGTTTGGAAGGCATTGAAGGCCTTATAGGTGTAGCCGATGAATGGCAAGCTCATCTCGGCTTCCTGTGAGTCCGGCATGGCGCGGGCCTGGGCGCGGTGGATCGCGCTGGTATCCTCCTGGGGAATTTCGTCAATCGGGAAGTACGACACATCAATGTTCGAGCTAAGGCGCGGCTCGAAGGGAGCACGGATGCCGCGCAGTTGGTCCCAAACAACACCCCTGAAGAAGGGGTGGTTTTTGATCTGCGTCGCGCCTCCGTGCTGACCACCTTCGCTGCCAATACGGTGATCCGGGTCACACAAGAAACTAGACAGTTCAGTTAGCGGGTGATCCTTTTAGATTTTGGATGGACATATAAGAACTTACCTTCGGATCAGCGCCTCAGAGTCACGTCCAAGAACCAGTTCATCAGGGAAGTACAAGCACTCTCTCCAGTTGACGATTTTCCGGTAGGTGTCATTTGTGTCTTCAGCACAGAACGGAGGCCAGCCCACGAGACATTCAAACATGATAGCACCGACAGACCACCAATCGCAGAGATAAGTGTAGCCCTGACCGTTGAAAATCTCAGGAGCAATATAATCAGGAGTTCCGACAGTCGAATAGGCCATGGCACGACGAGACTTTCGCCAGGTGTTGATCTGGCCACGGTTGGACACTGTCAGGTTGATAGCATCATTGAAGTATCCAGAGTTGCGGTTCCGATCCTTGGAAGTAGAGTTCTTGAGGAGGTTTTGGTAGTAGGCGTTGTCATGAGTCTTCTTGCCTCCGGTCGACAGACCGAAGTCAGTAAGCTTGACGTGTCCACCGCGGTCAAGCAAGATGTTGTCAGGTTTGATATCACTGCGCAAGGAAGATTCATTAGTATGGATTGTCTTGTAGGTTGCATATGCACCTTATTCTTCATCAAAGAGGAAAAAGAATGCACATGCTAATATCCCATTGGGCAACCAAAAACCAAGAATCACTTACCGATGGAGGAAACCAAGCTTGTGCACGGCTTCGATTGCCATCACGACCTCGGCCATGTAGAACCGTGTAATATCCTCAGAGAAGATCTCGTACTTGATCAACATGGTCATCAAATCACCACCGGGCAAAAACTCCATCAGCAGGTAAAGGTACGCAGCATCCTGGAACGATGCGTGAAGCTTCACAAGCCAAGGGTTATCCTTCGAATCCGCCAGAATATCGCGCTCGGCACGGACGTGGGCTAATTGATCCTTCTTGAACATTTCGGTCTTGATCAACGACTTGAGGGCGTAAATCTTGCCATCGGTCTTGCGCTGCACGAGCTTGACCTCACCGAAAGCACCCTTTCCGATAATCTTGATGGTCTGGAAGTTTGCCGGTGTCTCCTTTGTGCGCAGGAACCGAAGGAAATCGGACTCTCGCTTGGAAATCACGTCGGCATCCTGGCGCTTCTTTTCAATGGGGATGTTGGGTTCACGGATGGTTTTGTCAAGTTCCGCCGATCTGTAGGGGGGAACATCATAGGTGTAAGCCACAACCCCGGAACAAGATTTCAGGGCTTCCATTTGGGACATGGATACTTACCGCATGTTACGGTCACGGGCCCGTTCGATATTCTCGTGGAAGAACACAGTCACCAGCTCCTTTGCTGCCTTGCCTCGCTTGTGCGCATTCTCGGAGTACCGATCGGGGAAGCGTTGCAACTCTTCATTCTCGGGGGGTGGGCGAGGGCTGCGGGGCACAGGGGGGATCAGGTGTGACGCCTGGGCTTGTGTTTGAGCGGGGGAGCCACCGGCGGTACGAGGCCGCTGGGCTGGGGAGCCAGCCCGATTATTGAAAAATCCTGCACGGTTTGCGTTGAGATCCTGGTTAGAGAATTGCTGGATCAGACCGTTGGTGCCGTCGGGGTACCCCGGGCGTGTTTGGTAGGCGGGCTGGGGCGATTGCAACGCTTGCTGTTGCGCGTACTGCTGCTGTTGTTGCTGTTGCTGGGCATACTGCGGCTGTACCTGTTGGGCAGGGTAATTGTTGGGCATAAAATAACCCGGAGCGTAAGCTGGATTGGAGGGATCGACGTATTCCTGGGCCCCCTGAGTCTGATAGATGGGCTGGGGGAATGCGGAGGGGGTAGTGGGATAGGCGCGGTTGTTGGCATTGTAGTTACGGTCATAGCCGTAATTCATGTTGTTGCGGTTGTTATTGTTGGGATCCATCTTGACTCGAACTCCCAAGGGACTTTTCAAGGTAGATGGGGGGAAGAAAGTTGGGAGGGAGGGAGTTTGAGGACGAGGGCGGGGAGTTTAAAGAAGCGGTGGCTCAGGAGGCAATCTAGCCCCAGCGCGACTGGTTGACTATTGTTTACATGTTTACACCATTCTACTGACCTGAAACAACTGCGTGTGTTTCCAATCCCTGTGATATTTTTCTTTTTATCCAATGATTTACTAAGAACAGGCGGCTAAAAGTTCGAGGGGAATTGCCAGTGTGCCAGTGTGCCAATGTGCTAATATCGATATTTTATAGGATGAGAACTTGTTTTATATGCATATCCTGCACGTAACACGCCAGTAGATCACAGCTCTCTGGGATTAGCCCTTGAAGATGACTGGAATCCAGGGCATTGTTTACAGCCCTGGCGGTTTTCTGCAACTTCTTGGCTTTCTCTTCCGATTTAGTACTCAGCTCTTGCCGCTTTTAGAAGAGCCCGGTTGTATTACATAGGCTGGGCACGTGACCTCGGGAGCCGCTCAGTCAGCCCAATCTATGTAGCCCTATCTATCAACGCCAATGGTCACAGACGTGTTCATAGTGATCTCATCTTATAGTACAACTTGGATGAATATCGAATGGTTCAGAAGTGGAGATCTCGTGTGATATGTATCTGCTGAGACCATATCAGCCTAGGCAAAGAGGAATAGCGGTGTGTTCCTGACACTGCCCCTTCCAAGGTTCCTCAAGCTGGCTAGGTCATAGCGGGTACATTGAGGTACCTCGGTGTTCAAATATTCTAGCATAGATTTGAACGATCTGGGAATTTCTCTCTCTGACCTGAGGCTTTTCCTTTTCCTCCGCAGAACTTGAGAGTATAGTATGAGTTTGATACGCAGTTCTCGCGCTAGCACTATAGAGCAATGAAATTAGTTCATCGACTTCCTTATCCGCGTAAACCTCGAAGAACATGAATTTACACAATCATAAAGAAGATCATTGGCAGGCTATTACAAATTCCCGATAAAGGCAGTCTGATACGGACACGATGCGAAGCTAGGGCCAGTTTTTGTGATTTAATTACACGCATTTCAGAAAACATAAAGATCAACCTGAACCGCTGGGTATTGTTTCTAGCACAGAATCACAACCCATCAAATTTGGGACATGTAGAGCAGCTGATATTGTCCAGTCTTTTGCCACATCTCATCTTGCCTGCTCACAGTTCCAACCCCTATCGGTCATATCCAAAGCAGCAGCCCCTAGATACACTCTCGCAGTCACATACGGCGGAACTCTGTGAGCTGCTGTTTGCGGGTATCATTTCGTTGAACCATGTCTCTGAAAATCATTAGAAAATTGTTGGATAGCTACTCTGTCTTGATTTACTTACTGTGATCGTCGTACGGCCACCTTTGAATACTAGGTGAATCCAGTAAATGCATAGGGGTTAATTGGCTGATCCATTGACGAAACGAAATTCCAGCAGTTTCAGCATCAAAAACAGCCTTGTCGCTAGGTTCAATCGAGTCATCTGTGCTTTGAATAGAGATCTCACGGCTGCGGTCCGCAATTTTTGCCATGGAGAATCTCTGTAGCGATAGATTTTCTCCAAAGAAATTCCAAACCGACTTCCAAAGAACATCCTCATGATCCACGGAGGGTATGTAGGGGGTTGAAGGGATGTAAGTTTGTCCGGGTGGTAGTTGTCCGGCTGGTTGAGTATGATACGGAGTTGAGGTTGGAGCGTAGTCTGTTGAGGTTGGAGCGTAGTCTGTTGAGGTTGGAGCGTAGTCTGTTGAGGTTGGAGCGTAGTCTGTTGAGGTTGGAGCGTAGTCTGTTGAGGTTGGAGCGTAGTCTGTTGAGGTTGGAGTGTAGTCTGTTGAGGTTGGATTGTAGAATACTGAGGTCGGGATGTAGCCTGTTGGAGTTGGAGTGTAGGCTCTTGGAGTCGGAGTGTGGGTTGTTAAGATTGGATCATAGATATCTGTGATTGTAGAAATAGGGACTGGAGGATGAAGCCAGGCTGGAGTCATAGAATACCAAATTGATGGATAATCCGGCAACAATGATGGTGAGGTATCCTCCATGATCACCTCAAAAATCGTGAAAATAGCGAGGGTTTCCTTGGCTTTGAGGAGCAATGATTTCAAATGCTTAGAGTTGATGCAAGTCTTATGGAGATGGAGCTCTTTGAGCCGATTGAATTCGATCTCGCTAGAAAGCTCTCCAAGGGAATAGTCTTGCGAGAGAGCAAGTCTTTCTAGGCGGGGAGCAACATGGATAAGCAGAGTGATCAAGGTCGTTGCACTCATGATATAAGCTGGCTTTGTGGTTCTGAAAGCTATGCAAACGTGGAGGTCCTCTAAATCACCCAGAACGGATTGAACAGAGCTGTATTGCTCTTCTGTGAGGAGGATTTCGGGGGGCAATGTTACCACAGTAATCAGGATTACATATCTGTAACTTCCTGATTTTCCGATTGGTTCCACTAAGCGCCTGTAAAAGCCTTGACACGGCTAAAGAGTTAACCTTGTCCATTACGCTTCCGCTACCATGAAGCGGCTCGAGGTTCTTACTCCCGAATCGGAAGTCGATTTGATTAATTAGGCGGCGCCAGCCAAGGAATCGGACTTTTTCTTGTCGCGGGTCGAGCAAAAAGCTCGTCGTGTAATGTGCAAGTCCAACCGTGTCAAGGTTGTCGAACCTTTCCAAGCATTTGCGTAGCCGAGTGCTAAAGGCCTCCGATTCTAGAAGACTAGAATTGTCTGTAACCAAGGCTTTATATGTTGAAAAACGAGCCTTTAGTACGTCATTAGATACCGGGCGACAACTCCTCGATGACACGGCAAATTCGGAAATAGAACTTCACTTTCTGCATGGGAGCCATCAAACATGGATGGAATCATCCACAACTCTTGAACTCGTTCCCGAATACCATCTGTTTCGGCGAGTGCTTCTAGTTCTCTAAGGCTATCGCTTGTCGCAATGAAGCAAATGCTCTTAAGATATTGAATGGAAAATCCTTCGAGGGATATTCTGTGAAGTGCGCGACATGACAATCTAAGCGCTCGCCATTCAAAGAGCTGTAGAAAGCTACAGACCGTCGACATAACTTCAACTGGCAGGGATGTGATCGACATTTTGACAGGAATTCTTGCCTTGGGTACACGAATGTAGGAGCGGTGAAGTGACGAATCAGAAATTGATGATTGTGATGATTGACAAGGATTCATGGAATTGATGTATCCAATACGCCATTGGGAAACCTCAGCACGTCCACGAAACAATCTGGAAACTAACACAATAGGTCTCTGAGGGTTTCAACCATTGAAGGTGCTAGACAGCAAGGTTGACAAGACAGCGAGGCTAAGACCAGTCCTGATATACTACTCGGGACTGCTGGGAGCTTACTACTCGCTGGGAGTTGGGCCGTGCGTTGGGCCGAGTGCCTGGAGTTGGGGCCCTAGGAGACAGTTTGGTCGCCTTTGGTCTATATCTAGTACCCTAGGTTATACTCCATATATTTTTTTTTGCCATTCCATGCCTGTTGTCAAACAACGACGAATTTCTGTGGCAAGGATAAAGCCCTGTGAGGGCTTCAAGCTCATACCGTGTTGTCAGGCAGTTGCTTCTTGTATCCTTCACCTAGAAAATTGAAATACCCCTGAGAAGTCAAAACCAAGGAACTCAGGTGGCCAGAAACCCGAATAAGGAGGGCGAGGAGCCTGAAATAACTCACATCTCACATGTTGAGCCGACGATCTGACTCGATGATCTGACTCGGATGAGTTTATATCAAGTCACGTGGGGTCGGGATAAGGTAATCCCGAGGCAACAATTTTCCCCCGAACGAGCATGTCCCGGGTGTACTTGATTTATACTTATAGCCCATTTCTCCATTATACGGCTCAATGGCAGACTCCTCGAGCTCTGCTACGCCATCAGGCGCAAGCAAGCCCCAGGCGGCCCCGAAGCCGCCTAACCCAGCGTTCAAAATGATGGGTATGTCTCTGTTCCCCAGATTTGAACGATCCAAAAAAATGCTAATACGGCTGTGATCAACAGGCCTCCCTAATATGCGGTTCAAATTGCCCTCTCGCAACTGGATGATATTCCTTACTATCACTGGATCATTCGCCGGTGCTCTTATATACGATCGTCGGGAGAAGCGTCGCGTGCAACAAAAGTGGTCGGAGCTCGTGGCTCACATTTCGAAAGAGACTCTGCCAATCGACCAGATGCGCCGGAAAATGACAGTATACCTCGCTGCGCCACCAGGAGATGGCCTGCGTGTTGCCCGGGATCACTTCAAGGAATATGTCAAGCCCATCCTGGTGGCCGCGGCGTTGGATTACACAGTGGTCGAAGGGCGACGTGAGGGCGACGTGAGAGCCAGCACGGCGGAAAACATTCGCAAGCTGCGCCGAAAGGCCGGAGAGCCCAGCTCAGCCGTCGAAGAGGTCGGGGTGGATGCAGTCGTTCTTGCCACCCGGGAACACATCGGGGTCACTGATGAACCGGGCCCCAAGGGCGACTTGGTCATCGGCCGACACACCTGGAAGGAGTATATACGGGGCTTGCACGAGGGCTGGCTCGGCCCCTTGGATGCGCCACCTCCGCCTCCGGAGGAGTCGACCGCGGAGTCGACCGCGGATACACCGACGGACGTCATCACAGAGAAACCCGCCAGCCTCGCAAACCCCGAGATTGCGAGCATCGATTCCCCGGAGTTCTCTGAGGAGAAAAAAGACGAAATTCCAGAGCCTAAGATTGAGGAACCCGAGAAGGAAGAAGAGAAGGAAGAAGAAAAGCCTGCTAAGCCAGCCGGTCCTACTCCTGCATACATCTACCCCAGCGAATACTCGTCCGCCATCCTCCCCCACACTATCCCCCAGTCCTTCGACAGCTCCACCCCAGTCGAATTCCCCCATCTCCTTGGCTTCCTGAACACCCCGATCCGAGTCTACCGCTTCCTCACACAACGTTACCTTGCCGAGGACGTCGGGCGCGACGTTGCCGCACTTGTCCTCGCGAATAGCGCACGGCCATACCGCGAGGACACCTTCAGCGCAGACTCCGAGTCCACGGCCGCCAGCGTTGAATCCACCCCTTCTCCTGACAGCTCGTTCACCGACCTCACCCCTCGCAACTATGAACAGCAGACTGTAATGGAGGCTGCTGAAAAAGAGTGGCACAAGTCTGTGCACAAGCGGGAGGAAGACGAGACGGTGAAGGAGCGCGAGTGGCTCGATGATATTGTGCTTGATCAGCGCATTGCCTCGCGCATGCAGCGCGCCACCCTTTCCCCGGAAGACGAGGTGCGCTCTCAACGCATCGGCGAGCAACAGGAATACATTCTTGGCGAGGAGCGGCCTACTCCCGTGCCCTTCTGGAAGCGCATGTGGATCGATTACGGCTACGGCGAGAGTGACGAGGTCCTGAGACGTAAGCCCATTTTGGGCAATATCGACGGAGAAGACGGACAGTGAAGTGATCTTCACAATTTGAAATTTGGTTATATACTATCACGGTTACGGGATGGATTCTTCCCTGGCATTCAGCACGGCATGTGTTGGTCTTTTTGTTTAGCATATTGCGACTCCCTCCTCGGCTTGTATATTAAAGGCGTTTGATGTCCCATTTTAGAAATGTACATTGATGGAAACAGTGTTTGTGAATCTTGGAGTAGATTGTTCTACGTTTAGCCCTTGTTTGATTGGCAATAGATACTGGTACATTGGATTCTCCCAGCATCAGTATACTCACTCCACTTGGCATCGGCCAATACCAGAGTATATTTGCTCATCCCGTGTCTTTCTCTATGTTTTTAACCTTCTTTTGTTGTCCCAACTCCTGCAACTGCATTATTTTGCTAGGCAGCTAGGCAACTCATGACCGAAGCGGGGATGGGGGTGGGAGTCCACACGGTCCTCCATTCGTATCAAATCAGTTCAGCTCGAAGACCGAAGACTCAGGCCACTTCTTGCTCGCCTTCTCGGCGTAAGCAGTCTTATCACTGCCCCACTTGTTCAGAGTGTCCAAGGCAGTAGCAGCCTCGTCGATGGTGATATCGGGGGAATCGAGGGTGGCAAGCAGGTCTTGCTCGCACTGCGACTTGGATTCGGGGTTCAGGAATTGACGACCAGACAGGCCGGCCTGCACGTGTGCGACACTGGCCTTGTTAGCCGAGATATAAGACTCGTTCCACTCTTCAAGCTTCTCGTTCTTTGGAAGCAGCTTGTCAAATTCGGCATTGACAACCTCGGCAACCTGCTCGGGAAGAGGCTCGGCAAGGCTCTCGAGAGACTTGCGGAAGCGAAGCAATTGAAGGTGGAGAGTGGGGTTGGAGGGATCGATGGAATGGGCGGCCGCAAGGCACTTGACGGCAAGGAGGTGCTTGTCTATGATCGTATTAGCATGAGGGTCCCGTATTAGAATCTACTAAATCAACTCACTCCTCCTGGAATAAACCTCAAACCCGAGGCACTGGGCTTCGATGTTCTGAGGGCTGGAATCAAGCAACGGCGTCAAGAACTTCATGGCATCCTTCAGGGGATCCTGAGTCTGCACCAGGGTGTTGCCCAGAGGATCGGGATCTTCCTTCTTGGTCTCTCCATCAGCACTCTTGGCAGTAGCGGCAGCCGCTTTCCTTGCTGCACGCTTGTCGGACTCGATCTTCTCCAAGCGCTGCTGCTCCTTCTTAGCCTTCTTGAGGGCCTTCTTCCTCTGGTTCTCATCGGTAGAATCGATTCCATTAATTCCGCTGGGCATAGGTCCGTGCACGAGATCGGGCTGGTCATGAAGAAGCAGGTGGGCCTTGACGGCGCCGAGAGCCATTCTTGTATAGAAGGGATGCTCGCGCAGGCGGTCCTCCCAGCGCACCATGTCCACGTAGGCCCTGATCATTCCCTTGCGAAGAGAGAAGCCGTGGAAGTCGAACTGATCCTCCTGCCAGGTATCAAAGATGTTGTAAACCGAGTGGAAACGCTTCAGGGCAAGACCAAGCTTCTTCTGTCGGAGGAACGCCTCGGCGTCCTCGGTCAAGAACCAGGTGCACTGCATCTCGTGGAGATCACCCAATGTGCCACCGACAGTCTCGTTGCGAGTGAACTTGCTCATGAGTTCCAGACCCTTCTCGTTATCGTTGTTTCGGAGCACGTATTTGGCCGCCTTGGTGTTGATATGGCGATCCTTCTCATCTAGCAGGCGAGCCTTCTCCATCTCCTCTGCTGCCTTCTCTGGGTTTCCGTAGTGCTTCCAGATCCGCGCCTTAGACATCTGATATTCCACAGCCTTTGGTGACAGTTCAATGGCCTTCTCAACATTCTCCATGGCCTTGGAGAGGTTGCGGCTGAGGTGATAGTTGTAGTGTTGAGCCAGGAAGTAGTATGTGCATGACAGGAACTCGTTGTTGTCCCCGTTCGACTCCGCGGAACCGTTTGCTGCCCTTTCAGAGATATATCCCTCCACCAATTCTTGTACCACGTCACGCTTGGCCGGGTCGACGTAAAGCTGCTTGATGTTCACGAATAATGAAGGAACACCCTTCTTCAGCATGCGCTGCAGATAGGCGTCGGCGGCCTGCTTGAAATCCTCTCCTTCTAGGAAATCGAGAGGAATGCGACGAGCAGCATCACAGCGGGGATTTTTCACCACCCACTCGTCGTATAGAGCCTTCAATGCCTTGTGATCGCTTTCGGGGATGGCCTTTGCCTTGATCAAGCCATTGTAGTAAACCGAGTTGTCTGGGTTGCGCTCCAAGAGAGCTGTGTATGCGGCCTCCGCCTCGGCCTTGCGGTCCAGTCGCAAAAGATAATCCGCCTTCATCTCCATGACTGCGTGGACATCAGTGCATCGGTATCCAACAGCCTCGAGGTGCTCTAGAGCTCTTTCGAGGTTTCCAGTCTCCGCAATGATCGTGTTCTTGTACAAGGTGGCCTCCGAGTTCTCCATATCGGCGACATGTGGTATGGCACCCTTCAATGTATCCTCGTACGTAGTCAGAACCTTCTCGGCTTCTGCCAAATCCCCGGCCAAGTGATGAGCGATCGCGAGCGCCGTCCAGTTCTGGCGGAAGCCCGGACGAGTTTGCAGCATCGCACTGCGGCTCTTAATGTATCCCTGGTAATCCCGCATCTGCATCTGGAGCAGTGCCAGGTCACGCTGAATAGGTTGCGATTCAGGCTCGAGGCGCAGGGCAAATCGGTATGCTTTGATTGCCTCCTCGTAGTTCTTCTCCTGACGCAACAGCAACCCGTACACGTGCCAGGTGATATGCGACTTCATATCATTCTGGAGAGCCTTCTTGGCGAGCGCAAAGGCGTCCTCCAATTGCCCTATCTGGCTCATATTCAGAGCCTTCATGGCTTGTGTATCGCCATGCTTGGGGTTTTTGCGAAGAACCTGGTCTGCTGTCTTGATACCTGTGAAGTAAAACGTGGTTAGACAGGGCTAGGTGGTTCAAGGTAATTTCAGAGGCCAACCTTTCTTATACTGTTTCATCTCAAAGTGGTGAACCACTTGACGAAACAAGGAATGGTCCTTGGTGCTCAATGTTTCCGGCATTGTGGGTGATGCTGACGTCGAGGGACCTGACTTGTGCGAGTGAGGAATCGATGTGTGCGGGGGACGACTTCTCCGAGTCCGATCTTGGCAGAGCTAATAGGCCGATAAGAGATAGCGTGCACCATCCAACTTCTTCAGGAGCAACAGGTGAAGTAGGTGAACTAAATTTTTGGTTCTAGATCAAGTTGAAAATACATGAATCTATTGAGTCTATGCTTGTTCTCGCGTACTTTTTACTAACGCGGTATAGGGTTTAAAATCCATATCTCGTGGTGCACACGTGGTTTGCTGTGTACATGCAATGCAACTTTTGAGTGATTTTAAGAGGACAGCAAAAAGAAAAAGCACTATTTTTCTATATGTTGATCTAGAAGGGATTGCTCACTTACTCTTAAAATATTAACACCGACCATAGCCTACGGCATAAGCCACTTCTCTTTGGTAGTATCTCCGGACTATGTATCATACCATTCTCTCCCTTTCTATACAAGATCAGAGTAATATATTCTATTGCAAGTAAAGCGAGGATGCTAAATAACAGAAAATATCGTGTCATAACTGTGCAAATGTGTACAATTTGGGGTGAGGCCTCCCCGATTCTAAAGAAGAGTTGAGTTATATAGCGATCCTAGGGTACTGTGGCACGCCCCTGCCAATGAAGTTATTTCTGTTGCGACTGGCGCCAGCTATCGAGAGCTTCTTCCCAAGTAGAAGAGACACTGCATTTTTCTGACACCATACCCCACGTTCGGGCCCGAATGATCTCTTCAATAGTGCGCTCATTGCGAATTAAATTGGCCAATGACTCAGTCCGTGCTTCACGTGGAAAGAAGCGAGCGGAGTACGGGTCCAGGCGCTCATTGACTTCTCGTTCCCGGTCTCGGGCGGACTCTATTTGCCGAAGAATCAAGTCGGGATCATCGGGATCCGGACTCGTAGCGACACCAGCGCAGTAAGTGAGAACATCTGATCTTGTTTGCCATGACGGGAATAAAACATTATCCTTGAAGGTCTGGCAGGCTGCGGAGTTGATCCGAGAGTGAGACTCGGTTTGTCGCACCGCTGTTGATGAAGGGTCAAATCCTCTCTGGGCTGGTGTAATCAACGCGTTCAAGTTCTGTGTAATCGAGTCATCGATGGTAGATCTTGAAAGTCGGAGAAAATCTGAACAAAAAAAAAATAGGAAAGTCAATATAAGCTGGTATCAAGATGTCACGTTTCAAACGAACCTCTGAGTAGTCTCTCGTCAAAACAGAACCGAGGTGTCAGCGCCGGAGCAGCTGTGGACGAGGCCTGTGACATCCTCCCACGAATTTCCTCCCCAGATTCTCGATTCGATTTGATCCAGAACAACTCCAGTTTGTAGTGAGGATGTGAGTAGCGTTAGTTGATGGAGGTAGGTCGTCCAAGGTGTTGTATAGTGGAGCGTTGATAATTGTGATATTGAGTGTTGAGTATATTTCACTGAGACCCAGTATGGACTGCTATAAGCACGAGCAATGAACTGATAGTTGTTGGTAACACTCATAAACAGCACGAGCAGCTCTCCGTGGGCACCGTCGTCATGCAGTAATCAGCCTTAAGCTCCGGACCGTTTTGGGACTAGCCCGTTCAATTATATGCACGTGACACCGCGTATTCGCGTTTAGGGGCATCGCGTCCCTGCTTATGCCAGATCGTCCTTCGGAGAAAAAGTACTTGTATATGCCCTCGAATTCATTTATTGCATATTTTACTGTTGATACTTGAAATATCATACCAACATGCCCGAGCTAGCAGAGATCCACCGCATTGTGCATTTTATTCGTGAGCATCTGGTTGGGAAAACGCTGTCCAAAGTACAAGCACAACATGATGATATTGTATTTGGCAAAGTTGGCACTAGTGCCGCCGAATTTCAAAAGGCAATGCAAGGAAAGAAGATCGTGGGAGCAGGCCAACAGGGAAAATATTTCTGGATCACAATGTCTTCACCACCACACGCTGTGATGCACTTTGGAATGGCTGGTTGGATGAAGATCAAGGATGCCGACACATATTACTATCGAACCGACAAGCCTGCAGACCAGGAGTGGCCCCCCAAATATTGGAAGTTTCTGCTGGAGACAAGTGATGAGCCGAAAACAGAGGCGGCATTTGTGGATGCCCGCAGGCTTGGTCGCATTAGACTGGTGGATTGCCCCGCTGATGAGATCCGAAACCATACTCCGCTCAAGGAAAATGGGCCTGATCCAGTCACCGATAAAGACACCGTGGATGAAGCATGGTTGACAGAGAAGCTGGGAAAGAAGAAAGTGCCAATCAAGGCTCTTCTGCTCGACCAGGCGAATATCAGTGGAATCGGAAATTGGATGGGGTAAGTCTTCCAGTCAAACAAAACCTATGGAATATACAAAAGCTGATTATTCTAAGCGATGAGATCCTCTATCATGCCAAGATACACCCAGAACAATACAGCAACACTTTGAATGGCGATCAGATCAAGGCGCTACACTCTGCCATTCATTATGTCTGCTCTACATCAATTGGTGTACTGGCAGACTCAGAAAAGTTTCCCGAGCACTGGCTTTTCAAGCACCGCTGGGGCAAGGGGAAGAAGAACCAGCCCACCGCCCTACCCAATGGGGATAAAATCACTTTCCTTACCGTTGGAGGTCGAACAAGTGCCGTTGTTCCAGCTGTCCAGAAGAAGACTGGTCCTGTCGCCAAAGATATTGAAGAAGACGTTGCAAAATCTACACCAGCTAATTCGAAACGGAAACTTGTGGCCCTGAAGAAAGAAAGCGACTCCGAAGCGGAAGAAACGACACAGACAAAGAAGCGAGGAGCGCCAAAAGAAAAGAAACCAACTGTAAAGAGTGAGTACTTTGAAGAGGAGAAGGCAAAGCCCGCCGTTGTTGGCAGAAGACGTTCTACGCGTACATCTAAGTGAGGTGTATATGACACTGAGGTATTACATAGCGACTGCATCTGAATCTAGAATAGTTCTGTATTTTCTGTTCGCGATCTCAGCAGTCTCCTGGAATGAAATAGACTTCTACTTTGTAAAACGCAACATCATATGACAGACTACTCTCACCTACATGAGATTGACGCAGTATATATCCCTAGTAGCTTGCAACGAATGAATCCAGACATCTTAATTGCTATGAGGGAGGCAATATAAAGGAGGCAGTATATGAGTAAATCTGTAAACCAAACGAGCAGTCAATGATTTTTACCATTTTAGTCGTGTTGATCTTGGCATGGCACTCGTTTCACTGGCAGGTCGACTCTATCCCCAAGAAATCTCAAGATATCCTCAACCTCATCCTCCACGCGATACCAATGTCCCAACCCCTCATAGGCCTTCCAAGTCACGTCCATCCCCAAACCGGATGAAAGAACATGAGACATATTTCTGCCAAGTTCCACAGAAACCTTTGGGTCTTCAGAGCCATGGCCAATAAAAACAGGCGTCTTAAGATGATGGAAGGTTGATTGTGGTTGCGATTCCTCTGTCGAAAGATCATCTGTTGAGATCATTGGAAGATCAAGAATATCGCGAACATGGCTGATAGCGTGGTCAAGCAGTGAGGCCTCTTCCTCGTCGTCAGCAAAGGGATCGAAATCGTCAGGCGAAGGGCTGCTTCTTTTGAATGGATCGTCATCCAAGTCAGGTTCCGAGAAGTCATCTGCATCTGCATCCGACTCTTCATTTAACTCTTCATCACTGCTGGACAGTTGCCTAGCTATCTCTCCATCGTCCGAGTCTGACTCGGACTTATCATCAGATTGAGCTTCCTGGCCGTCTCCAGCCGACGCAGGAATCTCACCGCATCGGAGAATTTCGTGCAATTGCTGCTCAAAAGGCAGCCATCCACTCATCCCAACAAATGCTCCGATCGTGCTTGTTTCACTAGAATCGAGCCAGCCACCTAGCAGAGTGAAGATACCCGCAGCACAACCTTGACTTAGCCCCCATAGGATGATCTTTCCATGGCTGCCCGCGCCCAAGATGCGAACCTCTTCGCTAATCAAGTCACGAATAATTTTAGCAGTCTCACAGAGCCCTTCGACTTGCAAGTCTGTTCTCTCTCCGGGATCCTCAATAGAGTAGTTGTCAAACCACTGATTGATAGGCATCTTTTTGAACCTCGTTGCCCGCCGCCTACTTGCAGTCGGAAAGACGAATTTCACTGTGGGAAGTCGAGCTTGCAGGTTCGCAGCGGCAAGAAGTACATGACCGAAGCGCTTAGCATTGCTGCCTCTTCCATGGAGCGAAACAATAGTGTGTGTATGCTCTTCAACAAGCGGTGGGATGACCAGAGGAGCGGGGTATGCATTTTGTGGCATTTTGGTGGAATTGGGGGGAGACAGAGAGGACGATATGAGTGACAAGGAAAGGACAAAATAACAGGCCGCGCTAGATACTTTCAAACAGTCGTTTTCGAACGAATGCGAAGGATCAGTTTCAAAATTCTTTGTTATTTTGATTATTTTAGTATTATGAATAACCATTTCATGCAGGGTAATCGAATAGGCAACAAGACATGTGCAATAAGCGTATAGATCAACCTATCTATCAATGGCTATACTCACTTCAATCCCAGGCAATGGGCTGTATAGCGCATAATTCTTGGAGTAGACAGCGAAATATATGTAAAAACTATATATATCAACCCAATTATTAATGGTCATACTCATTTTAATCTCAGACAATAGGCTTGATATTGCATAGTTCCATTTTTCGCTCATAAAGAGTGTTTGTCTGTCATCGTATGCGAGGGAATAGGATCAACCAAGGGACAGATATATAAAGTCTCTAGACGGCCCCAACCGTTAATACATCAGTCTCAAGTCTCATTCGCATCCGAAACAACAAGCCTACCATTGGATAATTCCAAACCCACTTTGGAAAAGAAAAAATCTCGATTATTTTTGACAACCAGGACTATTGCTTCGTCAGACATGGCTGACTCATGGGACATCTATGTGGCATTCTGCCAACGGAGAGGTGATGACCCTTTGCATTGGATGCTTTTGCTTGCTTACCCTGACTCGCTGAGTTGTACATGGTATCACGTCGTTGGACGTCCTACTCAGAATCGGGACTACGAGCGCAAGATTCAAGCCGGGAAGAGAATGGACAGTTTCGGTATATCGAGAAAGCAATACGTCGGCCATATTGCTGTAAGCGATATCAACAAGGTCAAATCGGCGGTAGTAGCAGTCCCTGTGCAGGATTCTCAGCGCTGGACTGTGGAAGTGCTTGCCGGGCTTGAGCGCAAATGCCTGATTCCTCTTGGCACTAGCGTTGATTATTACAATCAAATGGAGCCTTCTCATGTTAGAGTAACCGACGATGGCTGGGTCTTGCTCTCCGGAGCTTCTGAACTGAACTTCTGAACTGAGCTGTCTGTTGACGAAATTGCACACAGCTAGATGCAGACCGGCAGATTCTTGGGAGTGATGATTTCCTGTTAATTGGAAATTCTGAAGGTACGTTGCATATTCCCTTTGCTGTTGCTTTTCTCTCTTTTTATACACATATGTGAATCTATCGCTTGTTTTCTGTTTACATTTTTGTTAGTCTCTTTTATGCTTATTCTTGGCCAAATTTTTATTTGAATTTTATAGTTCCACGTTTGTTGGCAATGCAAATTCATTCTCAGATCAATTTCAAGTAATTTATAGGAAATGTAGACATAAATTCTCATCAACCACCCCCGTCACATGTCTATCCTGGATAGCGCCGGGGGCGAAGACGAGTAAGGGGTCGCCTGTCCGCGTTTGGGTACAGTAACAGTGGTCCTAGTGAAGTCATGTGAAGGTACTGGCTCACGGTATCAATTGGTAAAAAGTGGCTAGGAAATAAGTAGCGACAATGATAGATGAAGGTTGCTGTAAGGGCGAATGGTGGTTGGGTTAACCCCAGTACATTCCAAAGATAACACCTGAAACCTGTTGAGATGATGTATCAGGGCAAGGAATCAGAAGATGTCTATGTATTGTCGAAGGATATATAAAAAAGCCTACATCATGTATGTAGCTATTTACACTGTGGGGTCTGACACCCTTCACCAGGCCACTTCTTCAACACACAACTTGATTCAAAGGTTCCTATATAATTTGCGCCTGCCTCAAAAGCCCCAAACCCCAAACCCTTCCCAAGTGAGAGAAGCTAACAAAGAAAAATGAAATTGAACCTCGCAAGACTCATCTGATGTTCAAACCATCCAATGTCTCCGTGAAAATCTCAAGATTGTTCTCAGCGGGTGAGTCTTTAATTACAAAATGAATCCTCTCAAACCACCCCTTGAACTCTTCTTTCATGAGAACCTCGTACCAGCACTCGGCCACCTCCTGAGTGGGATGACGAAAGGCCCCACAGCCAATAGCACCGAGGACCAAGCGGCGATGACTGTTGTGTGCTGCCGTGCGTAGGATCAATTGCATCTTGGCTTTCATGAGATATCGCTGTGCCACGTCCTTGTACGTGGATTCGTCGGCGGTCAATGCAGGTTTGTTCCGCGCTGCCATGCTGATAACACTAACAGTGGGGTTCAGGTGTAGCTCGTCGTCCGCCGACATGAAGCTATACTCATTGTCCACGTTGTTTCGGAAGACGATCACACTAGGTGAATAGAGGCACTCCAGATCTTCCATTGGGTAGAACCGGGGATCGAGAGTATCAATCAGTGTGCTTCGGTAGCAAAGCTGTTCCTCCTGGGCTCGAGCACCATTGAGCCAACCCCCACCGGGTTTTTCGGCATTGGCAAAGTTGAGAACACATACTGGCATGTGATCGCTGGTGCCGCCAGCATCTTGCATCTCCAGGGCCCGGTCATATGTGTCTCCCGCCAAGACCCTAACCACAGTGGTCTCGTTTGGATACTCCACAGAATTGGGATCTAGGACAGGAGCGGTCCATTTGCTCGCCATATAACCAAACCGAGTTCCCTCCAATTCTGTTTTGGACAAGATTGCTATCGTGGCTTCTTTTGTTGTTGCGATCACATTCTGCATTGCAGCGTATTGGAACTTCTTGATACCACCACCCTTGATTCCACGAATACTAGGGCGTCGTTTCTTAGCCAGATCAGGCTTTTGGGCCGGATGTTTCTTCTTAAGTACATCAGGCTGACTCCCCGGTGTAAGTGAAAAGCCGGATGCAGTGTCGGGTGGCGGGAGAAGGTCAGTGTCCATTTCCTCACCATCAAGACCAGTCATTTGTTTGTCGCTGGAGACGGACCCGGATGCGAATTTCTCATGAATGGTACTCATCACTCCAGTGAGGCCGCTACTGCTGAGACTGTTTTTGCTTCTGGCGGGTGATTGGTTCGCATACTTAGAACTTATTGATTGTCTGGACTGTGACGACCCGGAGGTATCGGACTGGGCAGGCACTTTCTTTTTTGGCATGGCTTTTTCTGTATTGAAGGTGATAGATATGCGAAAGAAACAGTAGAGAAGTTGCTAATTTGATGAAGACGAGGGTTCCAGGGGCTCTTTATGGCCCATTTTTTACTCACCAATTGGCTAGATCTAAGCCAGTATATTCCTACATACAGACTAATTGAAAGAATAAGAGAAGACAAAGACTCGAGACTCGAACGGTGGTAAGTCGAAGTTGAAAGAAACATCGAGTAGGTCACGTGCATACTTCCAATCCGACCAATCAGGGCAAGTGCAGCCCGCATAAGGCGGTGAGCTTATCTCCGATCTCGCCACCATGACAAAGCGTGCAACGCCGTTGGCTTGTCGTCTGCTTGCAGAACTATTTTAATCCTCCAAGGTTTCGATGTTTTTATTCTGATTATCCCTTGCAATCAAAGCAGCCAAATTTACGCCATTTCCCTCTCTTCATTCAGGGCCGTCCAAAGCAGTACTCCGTCACAATGAGCGCGATCCTGTCAGCAGACGATCTGAATGATTTCATTTCGCCGGGGGTCGCGTGTATCAAACCAGTTGAAACCCTTCCACCGAAAGATACAAAGAATCCAGAGGTATGTCCGGTTATTGATCTCACTGGAACTGTGTGATATATGAGTTTCTTTTACTAATTTTTCTAATTATAGGACGCCTATGAAGTAACAACGGAAGACAAGGTCCAGCCCGAGGATCTCCCCCCGGCACAGATTTCTTTGACGGACTGCCTCGCTTGCTCTGGCTGTGTTACATCCGCCGAAGCAGTGTTGATATCACTCCAGTCTCACGCCGAGGTCCTCAATACACTTGACGCGCATCCGGAGATTCCCTTGATGCATGAGCATCATGGGGTGATGGTCAATAATACCGAAGACTCTGGAGAGGGCAAAATCTTTGTGGCCAGTGTCAGCCCGCAAGTCAGGGCAAGTCTGGCAACAACCTATGGGATTTCGGAGAAAGAAGCGGGGTACATGATCAACCAATTACTTAGTGGCCCGCAGGGCTTGCGAGGTGGGGGTAAATACGGAAATGGGTTTACATGGGTTGTCGACACCAATGCTATGCGAGAGGCCGTGCTAGTGCTCACTGCAGACGAGGTTTCGGACTCGCTCAACTCGTCAACAGCGAGCCAGTCGGCTGACTCTCTTCCCGAACGACCTATTTTATCCTCAGCTTGCCCTGGATGGATTTGTTACGCTGAGAAGACTCACCCTTTTATCCTTCCACACCTATCTCGGCTCAAGTCCCCGCAGGCTTTGTCGGGGACGTTTCTCAAAACCGTTTTGAGCAAGTCTCTCGGGGTCCATCCTTCTCGGATCTGGCATTTGGCAGTCATGCCCTGCTTTGACAAGAAGCTAGAAGCTAGTCGAGAAGAACTCACAGATGTGTCATGGCGACAGGGAGATTCCACGGACTCTGAGACACAGCCTGTTCGCGACGTAGACTGTGTCATCACTGCTCGTGAGCTTCTATCTCTGGCTTCGTCTCGAGGGTTCTCACTACCAAACTTGCCTTTGCAACCTCTGCCTTCGTCTTTCACCCCACCCTTCCCTGAAAAGACCCTCGATTCTTTCCTTTCCTTCAAGCGCTCTCGGGCGGAACAATCTATTGCTACAGGTACCTCTGGAGGCTACCTACACCACGTGCTCATGACTTTCCAAGCTCGCAACCCAGGCAGCGAACTTGTGATTAACCGCGGACGCAATGCCGATGTCGTGGAGTACGTGCTCATGTCTCAAGAGGGTCAAACCATTTTGAAAGCAGCTCGCTATTACGGTTTCCGAAATATCCAAAACCTTGTCCGGAAGCTCAAGCCCGCACGTGTATCGAGGCTTCCTGGCGCAAAACCAGCCGCCAGACCTGCCGCCAGACCTGCCGCAGGTCGGCGCCAGCCTATATCTCGTAACGCCGTGTCCACAAGCAGCTCAGGATCAGACTACGCCTACGTGGAGGTCATGGCCTGTCCGGGTGGGTGCACGAATGGCGGTGGCCAGATCCGAGTCGAAGACGCCAGAGAAGTCATTGGTCCTTCCCAAGGAGAGGCACTAGACGCATCTATGAAGCCATCACCACATGAGCAGCGCGTGTGGCTTGCTCGAGTCGACGAGGCTTATTTCTCCATGGACTCTGAGTCTGAGCCTGAACTGGAGACTCAGTATCAGCTGTCTTCATTGGCTGACAAGGAGGCTAAAATACATGCAGGCTTGCGGTCCTGGTCAGAATACATGAACATCCCCCTCTCTAAGCTCGTCTATACTACCTACCGCAAGGTGGAAAGTGATGTTGGCAAGGATCAAACACCTGCTAATGATACAAGTCGGGTTGTGGAGCTTGCGGGGAAGATTGGTGGTGGTTGGTAACTTATATCTGCTTCATTTTGCTGCTACGAGATACACGCTCGTGGTAGTCTTCTTCGTGGCCTCTCCTTTGCTTCATTTGCATGGCGCCGGATCTGATTTTTTCTTGCATGTTTCTGGGGGATATACCATATTTTCATTTTTGAAGTCACGGTCGATGATACATGAGGTACTGAATTGTTTTAAGCTTATGACACGATAAATGCATAGAAAAAAGGTGCAGATACCTTCAGATACGATCAATGATATTAATGAAGCCATCAAAAAATACATTCCAAGATCTCCTTCCTAGATTTCATACAAAATCAGAGTGCTTTTTATACTTCCAGATCGGGCCTGGATGTGATGACTAATATGTCAGACGCATGACTAAGCACTTAAAATCCCGCGCTCCAGAAAGAAAAAGAATCCAAGTATCTCAGCGTTGAAGCTAGTTTCCACCTCACAACTCTCATCCTCTCATCGAATACGATCAACTCGCGCGCAAAATAATCACTTTTTCTACCACACCACTCTCAACCCTCAACGATGTCTCGTGAAACCTACCAGGTCCCTGCGATGGGCACCCAGAACAACTTCGACACCCAAGCCGGAGGCGGAGGTTTCGGTAGCGCCATGGCCATCGACAGCCCCTCAGTCACCTACCTGTGCGGCGAATGCTCTGCCCGTGTTCCACTGAAGCGTGGCGACCAGATCCGCTGCAAGGACTGCGGTCACCGTGTGCTGTACAAGGAGCGGACCAAGCGGTAAGATTTTCGTTCCTAGGAATTATCATGCGATATGCGCGAGACATGGGCTGACTTCTTCTCTCTTGCTTCTCAATAGTATGGTCCAGTTCCAGGCTCGGTAGACGTCTCATTTACACGAACAGAAATCAGACGTTTGGAGGTTGCGATGGCTCAGGCGGAATCAGCCTTAGAACCTTTGGGTTTGAAATCTTTATTATTTGACGAATTATGCATACAATGGCGCCTTGGATTTGAATTACACAAACCAGTTTTTCTATGGTCTCAGTCTACAAGAACCAGATACGATGTTCTGGCCATGTCCGCTAGTACTACTGACTTGTGAGAAGGAGGCTTCACCTTTTTTTTCTAGAAACAATTATATTTGGTTTCACGAATTAAAGGCATTTACTCATGGACCCGAAATATCCACATATCTAAACGTACATCAGCCCCCATCAGAACAGGTGAAACCATACATAACCCAAACCGAAAGCTTTTTGGACCCGAAAGAGCTATAACATACTAAATCGAAACCTACAAAACTAGTCACAAGATTCTACTTTAGAGCTGGTTAGTTACTTCAATGAATTGCTCCAAGTTTTTCAGAGACTGCCCGCTCTCAATTGCCCAGCGTGCGCGACGCACGCCTTCTTTCCAGCGGCCGCCTCCAGGGCCACGCTCGGTGATGACCTGACCATCATCGCCAGGTCCCATGTTGCTGGTATCGGCCTCGCAAATGCCCGACGTGACAAGCAGACCAGCCACATTCATGAGAACAAACTCCAGGATGGGGTCATCCCGTGGAAGCTCATTTCGAAGTATGCTCATCAGCTTTGCTGCGTTTTCCTTGGGCATTTTACCTCCGCCCACATCACTAAGGGGATGACTAGAGAGGCCAAAGTCGGATGGCTGGAGCTGGAAGGTGTCGGTTTTGACAAGTGTACGGGGATTGTTGATATCATATTCACTTGAGTCGTTTGCATCGTCTTCGGGGGCTTTGTATGCAGGGTTCGGGTACTCAGAGAGCCTCCAGCAGTTTGTCTTTCCAGCGCAGCTGATTTCGTCCATGTCCTCTGCGCCGCAAACAATCATGGCTTTCTTCGCTCCGCTTTGTCTGAAAGCCTCGGCAAACACTGGACCAAGGCTCTGGTATGCCACGCCAACCACGCGTGCTTCCAGTGCCCAGTCAACGGGGTTTGCCAAAGGGCCCATCAGGTTGAAGATCGTTCGGAGGCCGAGACCCCTGCGGACAGGGTTGGAATGCATCATGCCCGGGTGGAAATTCGGAGCGAACAAGAACGAATAGTTTGTTTTCTCGTAGACCTGGGCCAGATTCTTAGCGGTGATGGCTGCAATCTTGGGTGCCAATGGCTGGATGGCATTGAGGACGTCGGCAGCCCCAGAGGTCGATGTTTGAGCGCGGTTGCCATGTTTAGCTGTCATGAGAAGAGGAGAGGCAACGATTGAGGAGGTCGTGGAAATGTTAAAGGTCGAATGAGAGTCTCCTCCAGTTCCAACAATATCACACTATACATCGCGGCTTGTCAATATAACTCAATGACAAAATGGGTGGGCATATATGCATACCAATCCACCTTCATAATTTCCAGCTTTCAGATTACGAGACTTCATAATCTTCTTAAGCGGGCCTTTCTCAACTTGGCAAGCAGCCTCTCGCATGCATTGGGAACATTTCGCAATCACATCTGCCTGTCTATCCTTGCCGGTTGAGTGGAGCAATGTGAGAAGGGCAGCGGTTTGAATATGAGATAGCCGGTCCTCGAAGATAAGCGCAAAGGCAGAAGCAATCTCCTCTGCACTCACAGCGGGGAGATCTTGTGCGCTGACGCGAATACCAGCAGCCGCGGGGTAGGCGAGTCGCTGGAGGAGCGGGGCGATCGAAATGGACTCTGGCCGCTGAGAGGAAGAGGATATAGGTGTCGCCATACTTGAAATCTTTGTAAGCGATTGTATGTTAACAATAGCCCAGCAATCCCAATGGGGTTTCACAAGCTGAAAAAGATACCTGCAACTTCGTAAATCGAGTGACTCAATGAGAGCCCGATATAGGCGGCAAAATAGCTCACCGCCATTTGGGCACCTTACCGTTTTAGGACCCTAAAAATATCATTTGCATTCCCCGGGGGCTTGTCTTGACCAGTCTTGACCTGTGTATATCACCTTTTTGAATTGTTTCGGGCATTGGTAAATTCACCACCAAAATCAAACACAATGCCGCCCCGGTTAAGAATCTCGTCGCTTCAGCAAATCCCTCGATGCCAATATGAACTCCGAATTATCAGGAGCGCATCCAGCGCTGCGGCCCCGGCAGTCACGCCAGCTGCTTCAATTGAGCAGATGACACGCTCACCAGCTCCCGTATCACTATTCCCTCCTACCCAACCTCCCTCGCACCGCAATCCCGAATACCGCCGGTCGCAACTCCTACGGTCATACACCTCCCTTCTCCGCACATCTCCTCTCATCGTGCTGTTCCAACACAACAATCTCAAGTCAATGGAATGGGCCGCCATCCGACGAGAACTAACTATTGCCCTGCAAAAAGTGGATGAGAAGATTGCCGCCGAGGGCCGGACAGCGCCTGCCCTCGCTCCTTACATTAAGATCCAAACCATCCAGACCAGCATCTTCGAGGTAGCTCTGCGCATTGTCGAGTACTTCCGGCCCAGCGAGGCTTCCCTGGGCTCAGGAAAGGCTCCAAGTGCAGTTGACCCCGTGACACAAACCTCCGCCGAGCTCCCTGCGATCTCCGGCTCGAAGGATGACCCGGCCTTGACCCACGACTTGTCTCGCACTGCCCACGAGGCAGTGAAGAACATGAAGGGCATGCACGAGCTTTCTCCCCTGCTCATCGGCCCTGTTGCTGTCCTTTCCATCCCTACCGTCTCGCCTGAACACATGAAGGCCGCGCTCTCAATCCTCGCTCCCAAGGAATCCGGCTTCAAGGGCCCTACCCGCAAGGCAAACCCGGAATACCACGAGCCCATTGTTCAGAACGGTCTCCGCAAGATTAACTTGCTGGCTGCCCGTGTGGACAACCAGGTGTTTGATATCGATCAGACCAAGTGGGTCGGCAGCATCGAGGGTGGCATGGACGGTCTTCGCTCCCAGCTTGTTACTGCCCTGCAGAGCATGAGCTCCAGCGTTGCAACTACTCTGGAGGGAGCTGGCAAGAGCATCTACTTTACCTTGGAGAGCCGCCGGAGTGTTTTGGAAGAAGAGGAGAAGGGACCGGAGGGCGACAAGAGCGAATCGTCCTAATCTGGTCATGGTCATTCTGATTCATTTTCCTGTATAATAGATCATATTCTGCGTTTCGTCGCCTCAAGACACCCACTTCCTACTTCAGGATCAATGTATACTTGCAAGAAATCAACTTTGGTGCATCATATTTTCTGTTTAACCCATGAATCATTGCATTCCCTGTATATGTGAGGCAAAATACAGACCGCGCCTAAAAGACAAATTTCCTCCCGATGTGTGTCCACCATGTTCACCATCTAGTTCTGTCTCAAGCGCAGTTTGGCATTCATGCCCACAATGCAGCGCACAAGATCCCAATCTCCATTCAAACCAACCCAGTCCGTAACAAGGATACCCGTCGAGCAGTCCGCATCATGCTCATTGCCTCGGCGACAGATATAATCCACGATAGCCGGGTTAACCTTAGCAGCAATCTTCTCGGGCCAAGTATCCGTCTTCCAGAAGTTACTGGCACTCAAGAAATTGACATAAAAGGGGAAGGCCTTCGTCGCATTCATATCAGGCTGGACTCCAAACGGATAGCGACAACAGCTTGCCCGATCAATTTGCTCCGAGACGAACTTAATCTTCTTCTCGATATTCATACTCACGAGCACCTCATAGAAATCCTGAATGCAGAGCTGGCCACTGGGACACTTAGCATTGGGAGTATTATCCTCCCACGCAGCAGCATCAATACCCCAACCATTACCACCATGCTCTTCCTTCAGTTTCTGCTGCAAGTTAAACCGACGCATCAGAATAACCTTGCCACGCGCCTCGCCCAGAGTCGGGATCTTGGGCCGCACCCACCACCGACTACCCGCCTTAGCGTAGTGGTCGTGCAAAATACGCGAGAGCTGCTCGTCAGTCGCGTTACCGGTTCCCTCCCGCTTAACAGAGACGATCAGCGTCTCGGACGGGTTGCGATCGAGGAAGCTGTCGACTTCACGCATCAGGTCGCGGAAGTACTTGTTTCCTGTCAGCGAGACGGGGAACACGCTGTGTACGAGGATCAGCTCGTCGCGCGCCGCGTCGTCGGGGTACTGAGGCTGCACGCGGATGTCGAAGAACCGAACGCCGTTCTCGAGTTGCTCTTTCGGGCTCACGGCCTGGCAGCGCACTGAGGGTGGCGCCATGTGGCATGTAGGCGAGTTGTGCGTGCCTGGGATTGAGAGGGCAGAGACGAGGGTGTCGTCGCGGAGTTCGCGCATCCAGGCATTCAGGTTTGCGGAGGAGAAGATTGCGAGGAAAGATTCTGGGGTCACGAAGACGCCGGTGAAGCGGTGTTTGGGGTTCTCGTTTAGTGCTTTCATTCCTGCTGACTCTGTTGTTGGGACGGGGACTTGGACCTGGTATTTCTGGTCTTCGACCTCGAAGACTAGACGCATGCGCTCCTTGTCGGAGTGGATGAAGGAGCGTAGCTCGGTCTTCTTCGTTGCGAATGCGTCCAGGTGAATGTCAACATCCTTTTCCTCGAAGGGACGGCTGTCCTGTTCGATCGAGGAGACCTCGTCATTGCGGGTTTGGTTGGTCAATACTTGGGTGAAGTTCCTGGCCATTGTGCTGAAAGCATTGAACCCATCTTTCTCCGGTGCCGAGAAGCGCTCGATGCGCTTCAGGACGATAGGAGTAGAGGTGTTGTTGCGGATAGTGAGGTGCTCAGCAACCATGGTGAATTGGCAATTTGGAGACTTGAAATCGAAATCGTCGCAAGTCCCTGTGCGAAAGGTTTGTCTCAATCTAGCTCGAAATCGGTTGCCTAGAGAGCTGAGATCAAAGTGGGTTACCCCTCCACTGGGGATCAGCGGACGATCTCCGATAGGGGAGCCCTCGTTCTTGGCGCGTGAAGCTGATT